CCGACTGTTTCCTTCATGTTTAGTCTCAACCGAAAACTCACCTCGTCGACCAGTGTCGCCGAGAGGTCTGTGGGTGAGAAACAATCCCCCAACGCTATCTCACCGTGCCCCACGCGTCCTCAAAATTCCTTCCACCCTTTCCAACATTCTCCTTCGTCTTTGCCAACTACTGTCTGCCTCACACATAACCGCCCTGTTTGTTCCCTTCCCAATCCCTCCTCTAAAACTTATCTTGATTCTCACTGTCCACCTGTGTCATCCAACCTCTGTCATTCCTCTTCACGCATCACACGTGCTCGTAAACCCCATGCTGGCCGATCCATCACTCACAATGAACTTCGCCCCCATGTCCCCGCAGCAGACCGCATTTTCTCTTGGCGTACGCCCTTTGGTTCCTGACATTACGACAAAGCCACATGTACGCTACCTGCCCCCCTCGTCAACTCTGCTGTGATGGCTGTCAGGGGAGCCTTAGCTCCTAATACCAAGTCAACATATGCTGCCGGTCCACTCCGCTTCACTCAATTCTGTGACAAGTGGGCTATTTGTGAGGAGGCTTGCATGCCTGCTGATTACCTCCTGCTATGTGCCTTTATTGGTGAATACAAAGGCCTCCACTCTGGCAACACTATCCATTCATGGCTGGCTGGTTTACACAGCTGACATATCATGAATCATGCACCTTGGTATGGTGATGACAGTTGGGTCCATCTGGCTCGCATTTCCGCCAACAAAGAGGGTACAAAGCACAAGCATCCTCTCCGTGCTCCTGTCTCTATCAAGCACCTCTCTTGTTTACGCCGTGCTTTGAATCTCTCTGATCCCTTCCACACCGCCGTCTGGGCTGTCACCCTCGTTACCTTTTTCGGTTGTCGTCGTCTGGGTGAAACTACCCTCACTGTTGCCAGGGCACTTGACCCAAAGTTCCATGTCCTGTGCTCTATGAAGTATGCCTCTTCTTTTGCCACTCTCTATCTTCTCCTTTTTTCTTACTATTTCCTAGAATTTCATTTCGTTCCCTGTGTGATGGTGCACACTCTGCGACCTTTGATATTCCATGGACCAAAACCACAAGAGAGCTTGGGGCTACTGTCATCCTTACTGCTCGTCGCGATGGCAACCCCCTTTGTCCTGTTGCTGCCTTCAAGAACCATCTTGAAGTCAACTCCTCGGTCCCACCTTCCTCAACCCTTTTTCAAGCTTACACTTCACCCTCTGGCGAACCCAAGAACCTCCTCAAGGATGAATTTCTCAGCTTCGTCACCAACATCTGGTCCTCTGCCATGCTCGCCCATGTTCTGGGCCACAGCTTCCGCATTAGCAGTGCTGTTGAGTTGTTGCTTGCAGGGGTTTCCCCTGAAATCGTCGCTGCAACTGGGGGATGGACATCCCTTGCTTTTTTACTTTATTGGTGCCGTATGGATGAGATCCTGCCCATGTCCACCTCAAAAGCTTATAATAAAGCACACCTTGACCGTCTTGCTTCTATTTTTGAAGAGTTTCATATTTCTCACAAAATTCCTTCTTCCTTACTTGACAACTCCTCCCCTTAAAACTTGTAACTGTTTTTAGCACATTGTCTACTTTACTGCCCACCCCTCTGAATATTATTTACAACTTAACCCTTTTCTCCGAGTGACACTCAATTGGGTTGTCCACCTGGCTCCTTGCCTCACCAACCTGCTGGCGTGAGCTTACACTCGGGTTGGCACAGCCAGTTGGCTTGGCAAGCACAATTGAGCTCTTTGAATGCTCAGACCTTGTTCGCACACCTTTCATTCCGGACAGGGTCTTTGCAAAACCTGAAAATTTGTGTGCACGAATTTCTTGGACATCTTCTCTGGATACTATGCAGCAGTTATCTTATTCTGTGATGAGTAAGCATGAGGCACGAGTGCAAAACTCATCTTAGGATAAGATAATGTCTGTGTCAGAACCAGACATCTCACTCAGGTGTAGGTACTAATATATGTCTTTGTTTCTGGGAGGCACTCCCATCACTTTGATTCTGGTTCTGACGCTAAGAAAACCTTTCTCGGACATCTCACAGAATTTTTGACCCCACCCACCATCCCTTAGCGTTCAAACAGCCAGTTGGCTTGGCAAGCACAATTGAGCTCTTTGAACGCTCAGACCTTGTTTGCACACCTTTGATTCCGGACAACGATACCAATACCCCAAGAAGTGGAGGCATCGACATATAGACCCAGATCCTGAAGGGGACCACGAGGGCACAGAGTATGGGAGGCACCGCCTGCACTAAGCCTCTGGAGCCACCAGGAGAGGTCTGTCATCATAGAATGGGGGGGATATTTAGCAGAAAGTTCGTTGTTATGGAAAGAAGAGGCGAAGTTGGAGAGAGAGGGCAAGTGAGAACGTCCATCCATGTACATGAAGGCGACATGACAGAGGGAGCCATGAATTTTTTCAACATGTATGGGTATGAGGAATGCGAGGCTGCACGATATCGGTGGGAGCAGCAGGCACGGTACCGGTAGGAGCGGTTAATGAGTTGGTTGAAACGTCGGCCATTGGGAGAAAGCATCAAAAATTCTGTGAGATGTCTGAGAAAGGTTTTCTTAGCGTCAGAACCAGAATCAAAGTGATGGGAGTGCCTTCCAGAAACGAAGACATATATTAGTACCTACACCTGAGTGAGATGTCTGGTTCTGACGCAGACATTATCTTATCCTAAGATGAGTTTTGCACTCATGCCTCACGCTTACTCATCATGGAACTGCCTAAGTACAATTATTTCACTCGATTTAAGGTACTGAATGTTAAATTCGATAAATTGCACCCATCAGCGGATTCCATTTTCCATGAGAAATCACTTTCCTCTAGCCCCTCCTACCCTGACTTCCATCCCTTTCCTCTCGCCTCCATCTCTCTCGACCCCCTCTTTGCTGTGGCCAACCCTTCTAGGCAACACACTCAACACCAGGCCACACACTCAACACTATGCAATGTGCTTGACACTACACCATGCACTTGACACTACACGACGCACTTGACACTATGTGACGTGCTTGATGTTACGTGTTCCTCAACATGCTCGACATTACACGACGTGATTGACACTATGCCATGCACTTGACACTATGCCATGCGGATCTTGGCTCCCATCACGTTCTCGCCTCCAAGCGCTCGAACATGATGTTGCAATGGGAAATGATGTGCCGCAACACACATCGGGCAGTGGGGATTAGCTGGAACACAGGAGAAGGGTTGTGAGGTGGGGTTCTACAAGGTATGTCTGCATGATACAATGCCTTCACTGATATCATGTACTTTCAATGGTCTTAACTGTCTGCGCGCACAACAGTGTTTTCATTGCCACCCAGGCTACCATCACCCACTCTCTCTCCACACCCATCATTACCCCGCTTTTCCGTGTTTGTCCCATCAACAGTCACGTTCATCATAATGTTGCCTGAAGTTCAACACCATTGTGCCGACTCTGCCATGCCTCACCCAACACCCGATGTGACATTTAGGACTCCCGCGCTCTCCTCTTGAAGACCTCATCAATCTTGGGAAATGGAAGGCCAGGTTTAGTTTTAAAACTTCTTTTTTTGCCCCCCTAGTATACTACATCTCATGTAAATATTATTACCTGCAATGACATGGGCATTACATGAATTTAAGGCCAAAATGATGGAACAAAAACATACAGCCAATGTGATATAGCAGAGGGTTAGGTCCCTGAGCTGAAAGACCCTTAAATCGGGTGCAGGGGGTAGGCCCTGATAGGCCAGCTCATGGAAATGCACCTTAAATTGAGCTGGCTGGCATCACAGGGCATTAAATCCACTAAATTGAACTTGATTTAAGCTAAATGAATCACATAAGCACTTATGTCGACTTATGTGTGCTTTTCTGACTTATTTTCAGTCTCTTGCAGCAAACCACCTTCCAAATATCTGTTCTGAAGAACAAAAAAAGCAGTGAACATGTAGCAGCAGGTACATTCAAGGTATTCTACAAATTTTGTATTTTTCCCAAGAATTCAACAGCACCCAGGCTCCAATCAAGGACACGCTGCAAGGTCCATTTTGGACAAGACTGCATGTTTGCCTGGGGGAAAGCCAGAACTGAGAAAAAATTTGTATTTTGACATATAATAAATACAAATAGTGTACTACAAGCGAAATTTCGGGAGGGGACCAAGCAGTGGGACGAAGTGGCAGGGGAGGAGGAAAGGAGGGAGGAGGACGCGATGTGCCAGGTCACGTGGTCACGTGCACCTTCCGAAAGCGGTAGGGATCCGGGAGATCCCGTTAAATCGGCCCACATAAGTCACTTTATCCATACCAATTTACAGGGGTACCGTAAATTCTGTAAAATTGCCTTTGGCCGGATTCTTCGCTTAACGTCCCTGGCGGCCCATCAATCTAGTAACCTAACCACTTGTCTGCGCAGGTCTGCGCTTGGTCTAGCTATCACTCGTTGCCGCCTGCACATTCCCCACTTGTCGTCCACCAGTCCCCTACTCATTTCCGCTGCCAAACACAGGTGCAGTGGCGCCCCTCCATCGCCTTGAAACCGCCTTCCAGGCCCTGCCCAGTTGACTGAGGACACCAAGGCACTACGACGACAGATAAGGCCCAAGCCACCACCATTAATGGATAGGGGGGGTCTGAAAAGGAGACCCAATCCTTTTAAATGAACAATGGTATGTGATTCATTCTGTCTACACTCTCAAACTCGCATTGATCCTTTATCAGCCTCAAAATGGACTTATCCCAAGCCTGGTTCTCCAACAAACCCCCCTCAACTGTGTCGGACAAGCCAGCTTCCATTACCCCTCATCTCCATCTCATACGCTGTGAGGCAAGTAACGATGTCCTCCTTTCTTCATGCTGTATGAGTTCCATTCCTCCCTGGTGACAGCAGTGCAGTTCCATGGTTGTCTGCTCTCCCCCCTCTTTCGTAGCCACGCCGCACACTTCCCTGAGCTCATTTCGTCATTTCATTCACTAATTTAAACTGACATTGTCATGAACAGGACTCCAAGAAATCCCTCTTCATCAAATAGGGCCTCGACCAGATCATCGCATTTGGCCAAGAAAGCTGTGCTCATCGTCACTGCACATGACGTCGACCCCATTGAGCTTGTTGTCTTCCTCCCTGACCTGTGCTGCAAAATAGGTGTCCCTTCTGTCATGCTGAAGGGTAAAGCTTGTTTCGGAACAGTTCTGCACAGGAATGAAGAGTGAGGATCAGAGGGAGCTTGCTATGCTTGTTAGTGCTGCCAAGGCTAACTTGTGAGTTTGTGTCATTCTTGTTGTGATCGTGGGGTGCTGATGGCATTTGGTTAGCTCAGACAAGTGTGAGGAGCAGCGCCGTGTGTAGGGTAGTGGACCCGGATGCTTAGGAAACGCGCCAGGGCTGCTGGGCAGAGTATGACTGCTGCTTCGCTTGGGAAGCTCTGAGTGTTCCGTGGGGACATTTTGAGTGGGTCCCGAGGCGGCATGCTTTACCTGTATTGTCATGTTCATATGCATTAAGGTTACTATGTGGTTCTTCATGTTGTGTTCTAGTGTCGTGTAGTTTAGAATCCTTACTAAATAATCTAATATCGGTGTGCCAAGCTTCTGAATGGGCATTTTAAGGGAGATCTACAATGCACTTCAGATTTTACAGGGTCGGAATGCTTGGCCAGAGGGTTGGTTACTCACTGGAAATCGGGGTTCTGGAGCATGCCCTAGCATGCCAGCTCACCGTAAATCAATCACTAGGGTCCAGCTTGCTGTAATTTCAACCATTCGGCTCCTGGACCGCACCAGCTCACTGTAAATCCCTGTAAATTGAACCCGATTTACTGTAAAGTCTGAGTGGGTAAGTTCTTACGGCTTCTTACCCTACTTACCCACCTTACTTACCTGTTGGTTTCCTTTGTGTCAATTCCTGTCTGCACCTGTATTCATAACACATCCTCCTTCAGACAAAAAAAGCCTTGAAAAATGCATATATACTGTTCAGGGCCACAAGGACTAACAATGATTAATCGATGGCCCACCTCACCAGAAAATATAATAACAGATGCGACGCAACGCGTTGCTTCTATTTGGTGTGCACGTACATGTGTTCTATCAACAAGTGCACCGACCAGCGCTCAACGGAAGACCATTAGTGTATTTGTAGTTCCATGTATTGATTAATGCTACCTATCTTAATTTCTAGTCCATGCTTTCAATATTGTATAGTATCCTATTTGGCTATTGGAAGAACAAGATAAAAATCAAAAGTGACACAAAACCAATGGCATTCAATAGGGAACGGTGAGGGCTATATTGATGGAGAGCTCTTTAACTTGGGCCAAAAAGAAAGAGGGTGTGTTGCTGCACAGAGGCGCACGTCCTTTCAATGTTCTGATTGATTGATTGATTCGAAGTACACAACACATGTTATTTATGTAACTACAAGTAGACAAAAGGGTGGCAGATTAAAGAATGCAGCCGACGATCTCCTCCGTTCCAAGCTCCCAGGCCAAGGAACAGACCAGGTCCGCACGCCGCGCCCATCGCCGGCAAGGTAAGAGGGCAGGAAGAGGGCAGGCAGCATCGTATGACGAGCGGGCACCCGACGCGCGGCTATTTGGCTGCAGGGCGGGGAGCCGTCACAAAGAATGACGTTGTTGCAATGGGAAATGAAAGGATGAAGACCTGTCAACAGCGACAGCGCCTTGACAGACTTGACAGCGTGTTTGAAGGCGGTGGTCTAGAATGCCCCCCGTGTGCCTAGTTAGGTTGACATAAGCAACGTCAAATTTTTTCTAAGGCAAACAGCAACATTTTTACAAGGTTTTTCTTGCTACACTTATTCATTTTCCGTGACATATTGGGGACAACAACTACTGCATAAATTATATGGTATGAGATATCTACATATATCTACAACACACAAGGGTTGGTGTTTGTGCACACCCCAAACATACCCCAGGGAATCTTGTTGTATCCGCCGCACGAGCTCATCAGCATGCCGTGCCATGGTCCACATCAACACAAACAATAAGTAGAAGGGGTGGTATCAGATTTAAAACAAGGGGAGGGGAGGGGGGCATACAGAATCACATACACGGTTCTACCTAACATCCCCATCGCCTGCACTCTACCCATTGGCCAATAAAGGCACGGCACAATGCGATCGTGTTTGGGCATGTTGCCGTGTGTCGGGTCTCCTGTGTCTGGGCATTTTCGCACTATGTGTCGGTCACATACCATCGTTTGGTTGGTTGCATGTCGCGTCGCATTTGGGTGTGTTGCCGTCACGTCTCTTGTGTCGCGTCTCTTGTGTCTATGTGTCAGTCACATACAGTCGATGTCAGTTGTTTGGTTGGTTGCATGTTGCGTCAAGTTGCGTTTGGGCACGTTGCCGTCGCATCTATTGTGTCGCTCTCTGGTGTCTAGGCATTTTCGCGTCCATACGCGGCAAGGACGTCATGTGGATGCCGCATCAACGAGGCCGAGGGGGGTATCAACGAGGGAGGCTGGGCAGGAATGGGCGTCAGGACCAAACAGATTTCAAAAGCTGTTTGGCAACTGTTGCAATGCTTTGGCTTATTTGGACATCATCACGTCAATCACAGTGACGGCTGACATGACACTGACAGGGAAGTTCCCGAAGGTCTAAGCCGAAGGCTTCTGAGACTACTATCACGTGCCTAGTTTTGCAAGTCACCTAGTTTTGCAAATCAGTCTCTAACTTTACAACAAATACGATCTACACTCTGAAAATATTTGAGGGGGTGTATATTTATGTATCAAGTGCGACTCTATTTTTTAATTTGAAGAAACCAAATGGCAACATGCCACAGGCTGCAATATATACCAAAATCCTACACTTCCCCACCATGTTGCCTGCATAAGATATTCTATTCCCAACAGAGAGCTCTCATTCTTTTTAAGGATTGAGCTACAGATATATAGTAAACATTCCATAGCTTTTTGAGAGCATCTGTGCTGTCCTTAGATGAACAAGGCATTCTGACAGTCGAGCGTGACAAGTTGAAGCAAGCACTTCAAACTCCGATGTGTGCTCGACAAGAATTCGCGCTGCATCAGGTTCACATTCAATCTCCGAATGATGCAACGAGGCGCACGACTGAAGCTTCTTGCGTGACATAGGCGTGACGAGATTTGCAAAGCTAAGTGACTTTCTCTTTTGCATCGGCACCTCACTTAACCACCTCAGTTAAATACGAAAAAACCACCCTCTTAAAGCCAGAGATCAGGCCTTTCCATTGGTAAAAGAAATGAGAAGAACGGTTCATTTCTTAGAGTGCTGTGGAGCTTTGATCTAAATATTTGCAAAACAGGGTCAGTGATACAGTTGTGGACAAGCAAAGCCCACCAATTGCTTTTCTCACCAAAAACTCGATGAAATTGCGAGATTCTTTCAGAATCTTGCTCAGTTTTTCAAAAGACGTCGAAAACACCCCCTCCGAAGTTTTTCCCACAAGTAATTAGTAATTGCCAAATTTTTAGGGTCAAGAATCGCAAATGTAATGTACAAAATTCAGTTGAGAGCTGTATCTAAATGCATCGTTGCAGTCCTTGAAACGCTTCAGTGCCCTTTTTGCTTTCGCACAGCCCACTGGGCAGCCTCCCCAGTCAATCTGATGTGATAAGCCAACATCCACTGCCATGATCGGTTGATAAACGGCCAGATCACCTCAGCAGGACAAGCATTTAGTGCTTCTGAGGTGGCATTGACTTTCTTCTTAGGCAGCATTAGTCAAATTCAAGATTTTATTGTGGGCCAACCACTTGATGAAACCCTTTGAAACGCAGTGGACACGCTCCATCTACACCGCCAAATGACAGGCATGTGAGAAAAACCTGAGAGTCAAACCCTGTGTGGCATGTTTTCCCACCTGTCAGGCAATAATTATCTGAGTCCACACCAGGATCGAAATCCGACTAATAGCAGGGTGTGCCCAGGTCGATCTTGGCACTACCTGTCTGGGGCAGCTGGGGACCAGCTGGCAGCCCAGCCTATGTAAATTCACTATATTTTCAATATTTCTCCCTGGCCATATTTGTACTAGGTGTTCATGTTCTTATTTAGTCCATAAAATACAAGGGGCAAGGAGGAGGATGATGTTGGCCACATTTTCATAAGCAAGGATTATAAACAGGCTGCATAGTACAAAGGTATAGGGTGTATGGAAGGATGTGAGAAATGAGGCAGCTCCAATTACTACCTGTGTCTGCTCTTCCATTCAAAAAACATTCCCCCACCTGACCACCCTTTGCGCTGTCCGCCGAATGCGCAACCACAAACAAGGCGCGTCAAAGCGGAGCCTCTGGCTCGTTGAATGAGAGGAGGGTAGCGGAGGGCGGATACCACATTGAGACGTTGTCTGGAGAGCCAAGCTTGGGTTTGATGATGGTGATAGGCGTGCGTCTACTGCAGCTGCCGCTACATGGCACAATGCGAAAGTGAACCTGTCCAGGAGAGTCAGTATTAGCAAGTGGCCACTTGTCGGGGAGGAACTACAAAGGGGCAATGGGCAGGAACAAAAGCCCAGAACAGTGACAGGTGGCGACCGCGCACAGACACACGGGTGGGTAACAAGGACAACCAACGGAACAACATGAGGAGGATTACATGGGGCGCAGACCACTTGATAGTGGAACACAGATGAAAACAAGAAATAATGAGGGGAGCAAGCAAGCAACTGGGCGAGAGACGGTTGTGGTGGAGAGGAAGGTGAGTTTGGTTCTGGTTGAAGTTTGGAAATAACCAAACATAGGGCGGAGTTTAAACGACTTGGGGAAATTTTGGAGAGTTTCTCGCATGGGCCTTTTCATGTTGAGCTCAGGATTCCATGTCTTTTCTACCTGTAAGAACTTGGAAGTGCTCAATGTATCATTTTATTATCTTACTATGAATAATTTGTATCTCAAGTACATCATTTCGTCGCCCGAAGAAAATTGGCGGTACAGGTCTTCCTGAGCAGAGTTGAAAACCTGTGGGTCAGGTGTCGAGCCGCTGGCTCTAACATTTACGCCCCAAGCTCCGACACACCTGCCCTCCATGCCGGGGCGACCTCCATCAGTAATCTGTCAAGCGGAGATTCATGCCAGATGCCATCAGCATTTTGAACAAATGGTGGTGTATCGAAAGGAAGCGATTGCGCATTTTTTCGGATTTTTCCATTTCCTTTTAAGGGTTTTTGCCAAAATTTCAGGGACCATTTCCTTAAATAGACATTTTCTCAAGAACTGCTCGATAAATCTCTTTGAAATTTGACTGGGAACTTCAGCTAACTAATATGCATCATTTCAGATACTCAAAAAGGAAGTGCTATGTCAGCCATTTTTTTAGTGGGCTTTGCTTGTCCACGACTGTAGTACGTCATTCTTTGTGACGGCTGTATTATCCCGGTGGAATCCCAAGCGCACGTGATGAGATCTCGGTAAATTCTCAGTATTAAGTATGTAGGTGCGGTCTGATTCTTATCGTACTACCCATACCCAACCCCAGCCAACGCCCTATGAATTATGCCACCAACACTCCAACCACTGCCATCCTTAGATGCCCTGAATGTCGTCGAGCAGAATGCTGCCGAACGAATACCAGCAGAAATCCTCATCGATATTTTCACCTATATCCGCCCCGTGTATAAATGCTCGCGGCACCGCTGGATCCGATCTGATACGCCATCCTATAAAGTCGCACTCGCTCGATTTGCTCGTCTCCGGCTCGTCAGTCGCTTCTGGAACCAGACCATTACACCAGTCATTCATAGCGAAGCCGTCATCTCCACCTTACCCATTGAAGCATTGCTGAAAAGCCTGAAATTTCTTGACCACGGAGCCGAGCACATCAAATCTTTGATACTTGTCGACGACACCGTTTTCTATAACACTGGGAAGCCCGGGATATCGAGGGAAGCTAAAGAATTGCTTGCACAAAGTTTGTCATCTAAATGCTCTTCATCCAACATACAGACAATGGAATGTTATGGCATATCTCATGCATTCCTCAAATGGGCATGGATTCCAAAGACCCTGCCGAACTTGCCGTCGACCACGAAGAACCTTGTTCTTCGACGAGTCTCTACACCCACGCTATCACACGCGTTGATTAGTCTGGGCCGTTCTATTCAACGCTTAGAAGTACACTCTTGGTATATTCCCCCAGAATTGAGATATGGCCCCTTTCATCTACCGACTGAGATGCCATTGCTCCAGGATATCACCCTGGTAAACGGGAGTCCTTCTCCAATGGAGATCCAAAAACTCTTCAGTCGGGTTGGAAACACCAGAAAGAGCGCTAGCCGGCACAACTTTCCTCTACGTTCCTTGACATTGAAAAATGTTGCGACAATTGGCGTTGAGGAAACGCTGTCTATCCTTCGCACAAATTCCATCGGCAAAAACATTGTTTCTCTTTTTCTTGAGCCACCTCTTTTTCTTCAGCCACCTCGCCAATATTGGCCAACCGCATACCCAATCGCCATCGTCAAGGAATGTCCATCTCTTGTCAAATTCTCTTACTTATTTCCAATCAAGAAAGACCTTTTCGTCCATCTCCCTCCAACCCTTCGCCATTTGCATCTAGCGATAATTTTCAACCAACACCGCTTTCCAATGTCAAGTGGAAGGGAAGACAGTCTCATCGGTAACGCAGCAGGGTTTGCCGAGGCAGTAGAAGTTCGTCAATACTCTCTTGAGAAGCTTCAGATTTCCACATGCCACGAATACCGTCAATACCGCCAGTCTTCGAGTTACAGAGACAGCACAACTTCTGGTCAACATTCGGCGCTCCAAGAAGCGTGCGATAGTGCAGGGGTGACTTTGCTATGGACTGAATACGAGGAGTAGATCCGGAAGTATGATTCTTTGACTCGATGATCTCCAACGTATCTCGGCCTATTGTACTCGTGTTGTTGGAGTGAGGTGGTGGCTGCAAGTCGCTGGCATTAGGTGTCAATATCAAAAACAGCCTTGAAACAACCTCAGGCTGATCCTTAAAATTCAATGTGGTCGTTACAGGGTCACTTTAGCCTCTGCATATTTCCTCTCATAACCCATGGAGCACATAGAATTTTACATGTGACTAGGAGGGAAACATATACTTATGTACTATATCCGCAAATTTTATTCTGGGTGTTACAGGTACCTCTGCACAAAATGGCCGGCCTGCGCGTTATAATGCCCACTTTGGGCTACTTGGTCAGGAGGGAAAGAGCATAGAGGCTTTTTTCGTTTTGCCGTACAGATTAAAAAAGGAGGGAATAAGTAAAGCCGGATGTCGATACCTATAACTTAGTAGCTCTCTAGATCTTCTCCAAGTGTGTGCCCACAATCCTACTGTGTTTGTAAACTTAAGTTGACCGTTTTTCGAAGTAGAAGGCTACGTTGCAAGGGGGTAGGTATTCCGAGGCGAGGGTACATATATAGTCATAGTGATGAATACGCAAAAGTTATGTAGTTTTGACTCCAAGTACTACGCACTAACACTTTCCGTCACTGGCTCAGCTATCGCTCCCGCTAAACCTGTGGGTTGGCCGTGATATAGTTTAACATAGTAAGGATTTCGGCTTGATCATTCACGATATCGTACTCCTGGGAGACCGGAAGGGGGATCTGCGGTTGCTGAGTGAGGAACGCTACATTGCCCGCCGCATTGATTCCCATAGGCTGAACATGCCACAAGGAGTTTTTCACCCATTTCCAGAACATGCAAGTTCCGCCTTTTGCCGCAATAAGGTAACACCATCCTCCCCCTCCCTGAACTTGTTGCGCATATCCGTCGAGCTGGTTGAGCGTATTCTGGTAGTTCATGCCATTCCCAGCTTTTCCCTCGAAGATGATCTGCCACTTCACAGTTGGCGGAATGACGTGATTGTTGCGGGTAACAAGCAGATCGGTGAATCCATGGTTCAGGTGGACCTCGGGATTAATGGAATAGTTAAGAGTTCGAATTTGCGCCTGAAAATGTGTATTTAGGATGCTGAACAAGAAACAAGTGTTGTCAGCATTTTCGGTAAAGAAGGCTATCGTGGCACTCACGAGCTCCAGATGCCATTCACAAAACCCTCTTCATTTGCATTTGCTTGCACCCAGTTGGCATAGGCATTCGCGTTCGCGAGAGGAAGAAGCGGCATGTCACACAGAACTCTTCTGGGGGATGGAAAAGACGTTTACAGGTACCCAACCCGTTAAATATACTTATTTATCGATCCATCTGTCAGGTCACTGTGCTTTATTGCATGCACATCCCTGACGAGTGTCATTCCATCAGACCAGAGGGAAAATTCAAATGAGGTACGAACCAATAAATGAAACGCACTTTTGTTCCTCATATGTCGCACACGTCGCTAGAAGAATCTTGCGCTTCGGTTCCCATGTATGGTTTACCTGTGGTGCCAGATCCAACTTCGAATCCTCAGCCAAGCTACACTGCTCGAGGATGTACGGCAAGCGCAATTCGAACGGATCCTCTCAACTCCACTGCTCGCACCTGGTGAGGTACGGCAAGTGAAGTTAGAACGGTGCATGATGACAGATGCGCACCAGGGGATCGCGAACTCCCCTGACGGCCTGTTTACCGACCTTGTGGAACCTCCGGGTCCTTTCCAGAATGCGAGAGACACTGGCATCCGTATTGAATCTAACGAACTATACCTGATTCAAATAGTATATTGGGCGAGTGACCAACCCTTGCGAGCGTACGACTTTGAAGTCTTCCCAGTTAGCTTCGCTTGCTTCCAATTGTAAATTTTGGACACTAACCACATATACATAATCCTACACCTTTCGTTGGTCGATTTTACGCATATGTTGGAGCTAAGTACAGCTAACGAGAACCTGGATTCGCTCTTCAACAACCAACATGAAAATGTCAGGAGTTGAATGAATCAATAGGCACAGATAGGCACCAGAAGAACGTAGAATTCGACCTGGCTGCTGGCAGCATATATGCAAATGGTGTCGGCGAAAAGACAACGCCGGAGTTGAAGCCAAGAACAAGGGGAATTCACAAGAGAAATCCAAGAAACCACTTGCCCGTCGGGTCGTGCGAATGTGGCTAAGATGTCATCAATTGAATATTAATTGCTGATAAGATTGGTTTGACCAATGTTGGATCACTTAAGCAGATTGCATGCCCTGGTATTGTAGAGAGAAATGGTCGCTGGTTGGACTAGACTTTGTAATAAAATAACATTGTGATCACCTCGTCAGTGACTTCACAGTATGTACTAGTCACTTTGAGACTTGAAAACGTACTGATTTGAGTATGTAGGCAGGTGCCGTCTGATTCTTATCGTAACGATCCACCCAACCCACAAGATACCAAACGCCGCCCTCCTATGAACTACGCCACCGACCCTCCAACCACTCTTCCAAATTCTCTCTGCTTAGATTCTCTGAATTTCGTCGAGCAGAATGCTGCCGAACGAATCCCAGCAGAAATCCTCATCGACATTTTCACCTACATCCGCCCCGTGTTTAAACCCGCGAAGCAGAGGAGCAAGATCGAATCCGATAAATCATCCTACCAAGTCGCACTTGCTCAATTTGCTGATCTCCGGCTCATCAGTCGCTTCTGGAACCACCAGTCATTCATAGCGAAGCCGTCATCTTCACCCTACCCATTGAAGCTTTGCAGAAAAGCCTGAAATTTCTCGACCATGGAGCCGAGCACATCAAATCTTTAATCCTTATCGACGACACCGCTCTTTTGCATCCCTATCCCCCTATCATCTTAAAGCCCGAAATATTGAAGGAGGCTAGAAAATTGCTTGCCGAGAGTTTATCGTCTAAATGCTCTTCATCCAACATACAAACATTGGAATGCCATGACAGATCTCATGCATTCATCAAGCGGGAATGGGTTCCGAAGACCTTGCCAAATTTGACGTCGACCACGAAGAACCTTATCTTTCGACGAGTCTCCACACCCACGCTATCACATGCGTTGGTTAGCCTGGGTCGTTCTATTCAACACTTAGAGGTCCAATCTTGGTATTCTCCCCCAGAATCGAGAAACGGCCGCTTTCATCTACCGGCTGAAATGCCATTGCTCCAGGATATCGCCCTGGTATCCGGAAATCCTCCTCAAACGGAGATCCAAAAACTCTTTAGTCGGGTTGGCAACACCAGGACGGGCACAACCGTTCGACACATTCCTCTACGTTCCTTGACATTGAGAAATGTTGAGACAATTGGCGTTGAGGGAACGTTGACTGTCCTTCGCACAAATTTCATCGGCAAAAACCTTGTTTCTCTTGTAATTGAGCCACCCAGCTACCAGTTTTGGCCAACCGCATACCCAATCGCCATCGTCAAGGAATGTCCGTCTCTTGTCAAATTCTCTTACTTTTATGTAATCAAGAAAGACCTTTTCGACCATCTCCCTCCAACCCTTCGCCATCTGCATCTAGCAATAATCTACAACCAATGGATCAGGGAAAAGGAAGACGGTCTCATTGCTGGCGCAGCAGGGTATGCCGAAGCAGTAAGAGTTCGCCATTACTCTCTTGAGAAGCTCCAGATTTCCACTTGCCATGAATACCGTCGATCTACGAGAATTTCGAGCAATTCTGGTCAACATCGGCTACTCCAAGAAGCGTGCGATAGTGCAGGGGTGACTTTGCTATGGACCGAATACGAGGAGTAGATCCTAGGTAGATCCTGCCGAAGTATGATACTTTTGACTCGATGATCTTCAATGTATCTCGGCTTATTGTACTCGTGTCGTTGGGGAGCTGGCGGCTGCACAGGCATCAGGTCAAGGCTGCTGAAAGGTCGACAGTCCAGTGGTCCGTTGATTGTTGACGTTCTAGGCTTTCAGCTCTTTTCGTTGCCCTTCAAGGCTTCAACCCCCATTTCTGTCGGAGTCGCCCACGAGATTCAATGGCCTACATGGTCCTCTGCCCATGGGCCTTGGAACCTATGGTCGCATATGACGCGCCTGCCCGTCCCACAGGCCTCAGCAGGCACATAAGTACGTCAAACCAGCCCTGCGTCAAGAAGTACTCGTACGCCGGGGTCCCATGTTAGAATGACGGTGTCAAATTGACGTTACATTGAATCGGATGGTCAGACGATGTACATACAGCCACTAGTAGCTATGTTGCAATGATCTGCAATGATAGGCATACGCGGGGTAAGTATCCCGAGGCGAGGGTAAATAGTCGTGGTGATGAATACGCAAAAGGTATGTACTTCCGGTGACTGGCTCAGCTATTGCTGTGGGTTGACCGTGATATAGTTCAACAGAATAATGATCGCGGCTTGATCATTCACGATATCGCACTCCTGGGAGAGTGGAAGGACGATCTGCGGTGCTAGAGTGTTGATCACTACATTGCCTGCATTAATTCGCATAGGCTGAACATGCCACAGGGTGTTCTTCTGATATCTCCAGAACATGCAAGTTCTGCCTCTCGCCGCAATAAGGTAACACCATTATGCGTGTCCTTGAACTTCTTTCGCATAGCCTTCGAGCTGCTCGATCGTCTTCTGGTAATTACCGCCATTCCCAGCTTTTCCCTCGAAGATGATCTGCCACAACACAGTTGGCGGAATAGCGTGATTGTTGTGGGTGACAAGCAGATCGGGGAATCCATGGTTCAGGCGGACCTCAGGATTGATGGAATAGTCAAGAGTTTCAATTTGCACCCGAAAATGAGTATTTAGGATGCTGAACAAGAAACAAGTGTTGTCAGCATTTTCAGAAAAGAAGGCGGGTATCATGGCACTCACGAGTTCCAGATGCCATTCACAAAACCCTCTTCATTTACATTTGCTTGCGCCCAGGCTGCATAGTCCAACGGAACGGCGAGAGGAAGAAGTGGCATGTCGCACAGAACTCTTCTGCGGGATAGAAAAGACATTTGTAGGTACTCAACCCGTTAAATATACTTAATCCATCTGTCAGCTCATTGTGCTTTATTGCATGCACATCCCTAACGAGTTTCATTCCGTCAGACCAGAGAGGAAATGAGGTACAAACCAATAAATGAAACGCTGCTAGACGCTGCTTTGTTCCTAGTATGTCGCATACGTCCCTAGAAGAATACCGCGCTTCGGTTCCCGTGTATGGTTTACCTGGCGTGCCAGATACAGCTTCAAATCCTCAGCCGCGCTACACTGCTCGCAGCTAATGTACGGCAAGCGCAATTTGAACGGATCCTCTCAATTCCAATGCTCGCACCCGGTGAGGTACGACAAGTGAAGTTCAAACGGTGCATGATGACAGAAGCGCACCAGGGGATGGCGAACTCCCCTGACCGCCTGTTTGCCGGCCTTGTGGAACCGCCGGCTCCTTTCCAGAATACGAGGGACACGGGCATCCGTATTGACTCTAACAAATATACTTGGTTTGAGTATATTCGGCGAGTGACCAACCTTGCGAGCGTACGACTTCGAAGTCATCCCAGTTAGCTTCACTTGCTTCCAATTGTAATTTTGGACACTAACCACATATACATAATCCTACACCTTTCGTTGGTCAACTTTACGCATATGTTTGAGCTAAGGATAGCTTTGTAACGAGAACCCTCGAGAACCTGGATTCGGTCTTCAGCAACTTAGCGACAGGCACAGACAGGGTACAGATAGGCACCAGAAGAACGTAGAGCTTGACCTAGCTGCTGGCTGCATAAATGGTGTCGACGAAAAGACAACGACGGAGTGGAAGCCAAGAACAAGGGCACCAAAAAATCCAAGAAATCGACATTTACCGTCAGGTCGTGCGAATGTGCGGCTGATAAGTAAGATTGGCCTGACCAATGCCAGATCACCATAGCAGATTGCATACCTAGTATTTCCTGTGGGGAGCAATGGTCGCTGGGAAGTGGTGGTGAAATAACATTGTGATCAGGCTTAGTCAGGTGTGTGCACTTCGACTCGAAAACGTACTGAGGTAGATTCTTATCGTAACGTTCCACCCAACCCACAAGAACCAAGACACCAAACGCCGCCTATGAATCATGTCGCCGACCCTCCAATCACTCTGCTAGATTCTCTCTGCTTAGATCCACTTGAGCAGAATCCTGCCGAACGAATCCCAGCAGAAATCCTCATCGATATTTTCACCTATATCCGACCCGTGTTCGAACGCACGAAGCAGCGGAGCAAGATCGAATCCAATAAATTGTCGTATCAAGTCGCACTTGTTCAATTTGCTGATCTCCGGCTCGTCAGTCGCTTCTGGAACGAGACCATCACACCAGTCATCCATAGCGAAGCCGTTATCTTCACCCTACCCATTGAAGCTTTGCAAAAAAGCCTGAAATTTCTCGACCATGGAGCCGAGCACATCAAATCTTTAATCCTTATCGACGACACCGCTCTTTTACATCCCTATCCCCCTATCATTTTTAAGCCCAAAATATTGAAGGAGGCTAGAAAATTGCTTGCCGAGAGTTTATCGTCTAAATGCTCTTCATCCAACATACAAACATTGGAATGCCATGACAGATCTCATGCATTCATCAAGCGGGAATGGGTTGCAAAGACCCTGCCGAACTTGTCGTCGACCACGAAAAACCTCATCTTTCGACGAGTCTCTACACCCATGCTGTCACATGCGTTGGTTAGTTTGGGTCGTTCTATCCAACGCCTAGAAATCCAATCTTGGTATTCTCCCCCAGAAACGAGAAATGGCTGCTTTCATCTACCGACTAAGATGCCATTGCTCCAGGATATCGCCCTGGTATCCGGGAATCCTCCTCAAACGGAGATCCAAAAACTCTTTAGTCGGGTTGGCAACGCCAGAAAGGGCACTACCGTTAGACACGCCGTTCCTCTACGTTCCTTGACATTGAGAAATGTTGAGACACTTGGCATCGAGGGAACGCTGACTATCCTTCGCACAAATTCCATCGGCAAGAACCTTGTTTCTCTTGCAATCGAGCCACCCAGCTACCAATCTTGGCCAACCGCATACGCAATCGCCATCGTCAAGGAATGTCGGGCTCTTGTCAAATTCTCTTACTTCTGTACAGTCAAGAAAGATATTTTCGACCATCTCCCTCCAACCCTTCGCCATTTGCATCTATCGATAATTTTCAACCAACACCGCTCTCCAATCATGTCAGGTGGAAGGGAAGACGGTCTCATTAGTGGTGCAGCAGGGTTTGTCGAAGCAGTAAAAGTTCGCCATTACTCTCTTGAGACGCTCCAGATTTCCACTTGCCATGAATATCGTCGATCTACGAAACTCTCAAGCACTTTTGGCCAACATCTGGTACTCCAAGAAGCGTGCGATAGTGCAGGGGTGACTTTGCTATGGAGTGAATACACCGGGCTATGGAGTGCATACTTCGCCGGTTGAATTTGTAGATGAGTATAGGCATCACAAACTGCTACGAATACAAAGATCCGGAAGTATGATACTTTGACTCGATGATCTACAATTTATCTCGGCCTGTTGTACTCGTGTTAGAGCAAGGTGGTGGCTAGCATTAATTCAAGTCGAGGTCAATATCGAAAACCACCGGATCTTTAGAATTTACAGTAGGTATCGAAGGAGAGGTAAGCTCATCATCCAATTCGATTTCCCACACGGGACTGGTCTCTCTCGTCCGTGAGGGACCGGAGTTTGATGCACTTCCCTTTCCTTTGTCATAGCCAGCACTCGCCGGCGTCGTTGTTAGTCCTGATATAGTTTGTGACTGCGATGTCAGGAGGAACAGAGAACTGGTAGCATTGTTACGGAAAGGCTTATCGAACACATTCTTGACGTTCTTCACTTTGACTTGGCCAAACCCGGGTAGATTCTGGAGTTGGTCAGAAGTGGCTCGGGAAATGTCCGCAAAGCTCTAATGACCGTGAGGTGATCGTCATTTCGAGTAAACTGGACTTAACATACGCCAAATGATGTGCGCAACGTCTCAACATCAGTTTTATTGACTTTGCCGATAGACGTCAATGTCGTGCGCAGAGTCGAGTGGTAGTCTTTGTCAACGCGTTCTTTGATAAGGTCGGGAGGTTTGTGTTCGAATTGTTTGAATGTTGAGAGATAGTGACCGGCTTCATCAAACCTAGAAGTCAAAAGTCAAAAGAAGCGAAAACTCCTGACTGGAAGTACGAACGAGAAGGATACGATGACAGTGACGTTGTTGATTAAACAAACCTGTTGATAGCGGTGAGCTTGGGAATAATTCGGATTGGTTGATATATACTTTCGTGAGCTCACGAATGGAGTCTCGATGTTCCGTCTGCTCTCCAAGCTTCAACGACGTGAAAAAGGGAAAGCTAACTCAGTCTCACTATGTCGCATAGAATTAACAGGATTCGAAGGTTGTAGGAGCGACCCAACCTCTCGATGCGAGCGTGGATATATTCTGGATGAAGACGATGGTATCTCAAGCTGTATGCCGACGTGCAGCCTCATTGAAATTGGTATGCAATAAGGTTCACACCTCAGGAATAAAACACCTGTTGTTCGTCCTACTTGATAGTCTGCAACGATGTCGCCAAACTCTTGTCCAACATTTCGTATGCACTGGAGGACTTGATTTCCCCGCTGAAAAGAGATAAGAGGTAGATCATTGAATATTAGGGTGAAGCGGTACCTGCAGTGGACTAATAATAATGTTGTTTCCGGAGGCTGGGACTACGACGGGTGGTGCATTTGTCGAAGAGGACATGAGCGCGTGACAAAGAAGAACTCGACGCGACGGCATCATCCGGCCCTTACCACATTGTACGCAATCCTGACAGCAAGATGATTCTCACAAATACATAAAGGGGGACGAATTGCTCCACTTCTCGTCCCATGGATAAGTTGCCTATCTACCGCACGGATGCTCCGCGTTCAAAGCCCCGAAGTCGTATCTTCAAGTCCCTCACAGCCGCAGTCTTGCTCGCCGTCGCGTCGCTGGTCTGGTTGGGCAGCACTGTTGACTCGCAAGAGAAAATATCATCGAAGGTCCCTATCAATGCTGCAGAGATAGTCCAGCACTGTCAGCTTCTCGACGTGCAGCCTGGCCCTCCCCAGGACTTCCATCATAGATCCCACTCAGACCGTTTCGTTCCTGGTACACCCCCTACGCTGATAAAAAACGCGACAATTTGGACAGGTCGTGAATCTGGCAATGAGGTTGTCAACGGTGACCTACTGCTGGACAAAGGACTTATTAAAATGATCGGAGGTGTCTACGACACCTCTCTGCTTGATTATCATAATTTGGTGACGATCGAAGCTGGAGGGGCATGGATTACTCCAGGGTGCTCGATCCTCCTTGCTTCATTCCGTAAACCTTGTTGACACGTTGAACTTCAGCATCGTTGACATGCACTCTCATCTGGGAGTAGACAGTGCCCCTGAACTGCGGGGTGCTACTGACACCAATTCTCTCAAGGGTCTTGTTTTGCCATGGCTTCGAAGTCTTGACGGGTTAAATACCCATGACGAGGCTTACAAGCTCTCTGTATCTGGAGGCGTTACAACCGCAAACGTATTGCCGGGTTCTGCTGATGCAATAGGTAACAATTTGTTTTTGGCTGTCGTAAATGATGATACAACCTTCCAGAGTTCAGGTGGTCAAGCCTTCACCATCAAATTGAGACCGACCGCCGAATGGTCATCATCTGCAATGGTCTTGGAACCGCCTTACTCCTTGAATGGAACTCATGTTGATCCCTCATTACCGCCTCGATGGAGGCAAATGAAGTAAGCTAGCTGTTCTTCGTGTTGCGAGATAGTATTCATGACTTTGCCCGCTTTAGGCACGCGTGCGGTAAGTTTCCATCAAAGTCGAAGGCTTTTTTTAAATTTATTTTGCCCTTCTTCGTTGAAAGGTGAAAATCCTAGTAAGGTGTTCTTTATTTTTGATTTTTCCTTGTTCACAGTTGCGTGAAGGCAGGGTTTATTCTGGTACTCGCATGGACACTATTTGGGCGTTCAGACAAGGGTTCGAAACCCCCAATAAAGTCGCTGACAACGTACTGATCGGGTTTTAGGTATGATACAGCTCGCCAGATTAAACAAAAACAGGATGAATATTGCGCGAGGGCATTGGCTGGGCAGTGGGATGGTCTTGGCGCATTTCCGGAGAGTCTTCAGTGGGAAGCACTTATCGATGTTCTCCGCGGTCGTGTCAAGGTGTGTCATGCACTCGTTATATCGATTTCAGCGTATTAAACGGCAACAGGTCCACAATCATTGTTACGAAGCGGTTGACTTAGATGGCATTGTCAGGGTGCGCCTTCCACCTTTTCAGCTCCTCGTTAGATGTACCGTGCTCAAGCCAGAGTAGTTGACGAACGAGTTCAAATTTTCCATTGCGGCGTTCCACCATGCTCACGAGACTTACCTCGTCCCCGATTTAGTGAAAAAGGCATACGGAACGACTCCCGCTGTGGCCTTATTTGCGACCAATGCAAGGTACAAACGTGAGGCATACCGTGGTTCCGAATTCGCTCCGCGCATCTTGACGGATAATGGCCTGAGAGTTGTAATGAAGGTCAATCCGCTAATGAATTTTCTTCCGCGAGTGTCGTCAGCTAACAGTTTTTCATTAGAGTGACCATCCTGTTCTAAACTCGCGTTTCCTACTCAACGAAGCTCAGCAAGCGCATTATTATGGTCTACCTGCTCATCTTGCACTTGCGTCTGTGACGTCAACGCCTGCTGCAGTTTTGGGATACGATCACAGAATCGGATCCATTAGACTAGGTCAGCAGTTTTCTACTTTGAGTTTGGGATGATATTCAGTAATTGTCTTTAGGTTACGATGCTGGTAAGTTTCTTCTGAGTGTCGTCCCCACCACGATGTCAATTGTTGTCAGATATTGTCGTTTGGGACAGTCATCCTCTTGCGCTTGGGGCAACGCCCAAACAAGTATACATCGACGGTGTTGCACAGCTCAAAGCGCCATACGTGGGCGAGAAACCGGCCTATTCCCAGCGAGCACCGAAGACACCCGATTTCGACCGGGAAGCCGAGGAGGCTCTTAAATATGACGGGTTACCGCCACTCTCTCCCAGGAAAGTTAAAAATCTGGTGATTTTCAGCAATGTTGGGAGCCTCTACGTCAAACGTAACGACGGTGTTGAACAAATATTTTCTTCAAACGAGGTCGGGAAATTAGGGGTTGTTGTTGTGGACAACGGCCGCATCACTTGCAGTGGCCTGTTGCCCTCCGCCTGCCCCCTTGCCCAATACGATTCAGCCAATATCCAAGAAATTGATTTGGAAGGAGGTTCTATCTCGTAAGGCAGTTCTTTCTTTTGGTCACAATTAAGATCTCACCACTGGTATTCACAGCCCCGCTCTCGTCAGTTTTGGAAGTCATCTAGGCTTAAATCACATCGACGGCGAGGCGTCGACAAACGATGGAAACGTTATCGATCCGCTCAAGGCTCATGTACCTGATATCTTGGGACAAGGAAGCATCATTAGAGCAGTGGATGGACTTCAATTCTCCACGCGGGATGCGCTGTACGCTCTATTCTCGTACCTTTATACCTTTGCTCAGCACCATTGTCCAGTCTCGCATACCGATCTGGCGTCACAACCGGCGTGACAGCTCCCTCTTCAAACGGGTTTTTGGCTGGCTTGAGCACTGCATTCAACACTGGTCTCCCTCATAAGCTCGTCGAAGGAGCCGTCCTCCAAGACGTGACTGCTCTTCACGTTGCGGTTGGCTTCTCCAGTCCCAGTGTTAGCACCCAAATCGCCGCTTTGCGGTCGCTGCTCCTTGGACAGGGCGTAGGTCAACTGGCATCCTACTTTAAGGATGTTGTCAAGGTTCTTGCTTCTTCTTTTGAAAGGCTATCTTTTCACTTCTGAAGATGTACTTCGTTGCAGGGAAGACTGCCACTAGTTGTGAAGGTGGAAAGCGCAGACATCATAGCTACACTTATCGGCCTCAAAAAGGAGGTGGAAGCCCAAAATGGTGTAGCCATCCAGCTGACACTCGTTGGCGCCAACGAAGCACATCTTCTCGCCCGGGAACTCGGAGAGGCAGGCGTCGGTGTCATCGTAGCTCCACGTCCCTTCCCTGGATCGTGGAAGTCGAGACGAATGTATGTTATAGAGCTGTCTTTCTTTGGACGCGGTTGAACCGCCTTTGCAGCCTGCCTGGTCCCCCCCTCAGCGAAGACAGTGCCACAACCCTGCTCCTTCGCAACAACGTCACTGTTGGTATTGCTGTTGAAGAACAGTGGGCTTCAAGAAATATTCGATTTGATATTGGTTGGGTGAGTTTGAACAAACTTTTCAGATCCACATAATTTGTTAAAGGATGCTATCAAATGTCCCAGACCGCTCTTGAGGCTGATGGAAGGCTTTCAACGTCTGATGCTATCTCTCTGGCGTCAGTCAATCTTGAACAACTTTTGGGTATCAAGACACCCAACACAGATCTTGTCGCCGTCAAGCAGGGTTCTCTGCTTGACTTTGAAGGCAAGATCGTTGGTATTATTTCCCCTCTCAGGGGACTCGTTGATTTGATCTTGTAATCTGAATACCCCCACCGATCTTTCTTGATAAATACATACATGCAAAAAAACAACTGGATAGCAAATTCAAAAACTACAGCATCTAGTAAGGCCTGGCGAGATTATTCGTATGTGTCGTGTCGGATAATGGGTACCGCTGCAAGTTTTCCCTTACAAACTCCTGGACTCCGGGGAGGGCTTGGATGACCATCTTGACTTGCTGGGACTCCTCTGAAATCGGACATGGTCAATACCTCGCATTCTTGATTGAATGACCGACTTACGTATCGGAACCAAAGTCCCGTGTCGTTTTAAGTTGAATGACTTGGCGGAGGGGCCAATGAAGGGGTGATTCTCTGGCAAAATCACAAGAGAGTGCTATATTTCCCAGCTATGTTAGAGCGTGGCGGCAAAGCTCCAAAAGACATTTGCCTTTTTATACCAAGCGCGGATCTCATCAGATGACGGTTGAGGTGCCGTAGGTTGTATTTGGGGTCCGACGATTTGAACAAATGCCTTCACCGACTTAATAACAGATAGAGCTTGCATCAGAGTAAGTGGAACGTCTTCTGGTTGATATCCAGTGATGAACATACCCCGTCGGTCAACGAGTTCAACCAAAGGTTGACAACCAGGACCGTGACCAATAAATACCACCCGAGTCGCGCTGGAAAGCCTGGCAAACCATAAATCGCAAGCGAACAAGGGAAAAGGGAATACTTACTGAATGTAATTGTCCCATAAATATGTAATGATATCTCTCCCGATGTCTTGCGGATTTTTATTTCCTCTCTAGCAGCAAGCTAATGACTTCGTGCAGGAAAAGACGACTTTGTGAACCTACTGTGACAGGCGCTTGGCTCGGTTTTGGATATAAGTTTGCGTCAAGCAACGCATAACCCTCTTTTTTCACCCATGTCACAAGCTTTTTTGAGAAATCAATCTAACAACGGAGTTCTCAGAACATGATCCAATACAGAGTCAAAATGACTTACCAAGTGGGAGCGCTCTAGGTGGACATCGCAAGTGGCGGATGACGCTAATTCTAGTCGCAGATTACCACTACGAGGAATGAGTCAGGAGAGGTACTTGAGCTTGGAGGACGACGCACAATTCGTGAACAAAGACTATTAGTGTTTTGTTTTCGAATATATCTGACCTGCATATGAATGGGTAAGTAAATATGTAACTATGCGTGATTCGATGAAAAAGCGCGACTGACGTGCACATGATTTGTGAAGAGAAGCGCTGCTCGAGTTCCGCACTAATCAAAGGGACTTGCATCATGTCATACTGGGTATATAGGTAGTGTTGCCTGTGTGCTTTGAGGATTTCTGTCACAGCCAAAAGGATCACGATATGAACACAACAACAGGCTAGACTGGAGCAAACCTGGTATCGAGAAGGTTATGTCTTCTAGGCCTGCGACCATTTAGATACAGATATGGATGCTGGAGATTGGACAACTGACCTTCCTGAGGCTCGCATGATTTTGGATCAACGCTCTTCCAATACTTGCTCTGCTCCCTGGCGACTAGCCAAACGGTTTCCGTTGCGGCTTCAGATGCAACGAGAGGCGGAAGCTCGTCGGGAGCTTGCCCCATCAGAATTCTTGCAACAGCTAAGGCAGAATTCGATATTGAGTCCAAGTTGTATCCACCCTGCCATATTTTGTGATTTCAGAGAAGTGTTTCAAATGTACTAGCGTACCTCCAAGGCGACAACTAACCGACCGCCAGCCAATCCAGACAGCATATGCGTCATATGTGCGTACCCCGCAGGAGAAACGAAGCACTCTCCAAGGTCGTCGCCAGCAGCTGCGTCGAAGCCTGCAGAGACTATATATACAGTGGGCGGTTTAGCGATCGCGACGTTGAAGCAAAAGAAATGACACTTGCTTATCACCAGTTCAGGAGCAAACTCCATCGCAATCGGCATAACAACTTTCTGAAAGGCATGAAGGTAGTCGGCGTCTCCCATGCCCGCTTCAGGCCATGGTACGTTGACTGAGCTAAAAAAAAAAAGCTAATCATGAGAGTTTGACACAAGAATTTGGAAACCTACAACCCGAGGCCGGGGCCCTCGCCGCACGACTGCATTCCACCGAAAGGACCACATGGGTAGTAAGTACCTTGCTCATACCGATGTATTGAAACGTAGAGAACGCTGTTATCTTCGTTGAATGCCCTTTGAGTACCATTGCCTGTTTCCGAGGATAAGGTACCTGCAAAGTCTTTTAAAGGGAGGAGAGTTCAATACCGTGATGAACATCCCTGAAATTGACGATGAGCGCGACTCAACAGCATCTATGGTAAAAGTTACAAACCAGTCGAGAATCATAATTTTCTTTATCTTCGTTAGCTGTTGCACGACTCTAGCGGCTACAGCGACGTTGTTAAAGAAACAGAAGCCCATATGCTCATCGGGTTCAGCATGGTGGCCTGGTGGCCGTACGATAGCAAATGTCTTCTTTAATTCACCTCTGGCGACAGCCAAACATGATTCAATCACCCCACCACAGCTTAATAGAGCAGCGCGAGTGGTTCCAGACATAACATACAATGACATTTGTTCATAGTATTCCTCAGAATCGGCGAGTTGCTGATCGGACATGTCTATTTGCGTGCATCTTTGGCATTTTTTTATGACATAGACTGAGGCGAAATAACGCACATTGAATTGCGATAACTTTGTCCCAATGATCGTCGCTATGTACAAGTAAAGCTTCCTCTTTACGAACGGGCCGGATTGGCAACCACTTCATATTTTGAGTAAGTTGGTCGTTTTGTAATGTATTCCATATCCGATCTATGCGAGCTGGCCGTTCTGGATGACCTTGTGGAGAGAAATGGGCCATCATTTCTGTAGAGTATACAAAGCCGACGGTAAGGCCGGGGTGCTTCATGGGGACCGATAATGCACGAGGTCCACGCTGGACCGGTGCAGGAAATTCTCCGTTAGTTTGGGCGGGTTGCTGGTCCACATCCATTGCTTCCGAAGGACCTGCTTCATAGGCCTCCATTTTCTGGACAACTTGCGATCCGGACCAGGACAAGGCCACTGGTTTGTCCCACTGTTTGGGTAAGTGCTATAGGCTTCCACCTATAATAGTTGTAAATATAGACCAAACTTTACGATATTCCGTTAGAGATGGCACTTGCAGGACCATTTGGATTTCTATTTATTACGTCCTTATTCAACCTGAAAGTGACTGGCTATGTGTGATCTTTCGCAATACTAGAAATGTACTTGATGTGGAGGATATACTTAAGATTGGCCAGCAGAGCCATACAACCACAAGCAATGGTCGTGGTGTGCATGTTTTCGATTGCTCATTGCCAACTTGGCCAGCCAGCTAGCGCTGCTCAGATCTCAAAGAAAAAGGCCTTTAGATTATAGGAGACGCATTCGATACATGTCATGCACAGGCGCCATCATGCTCAGCGACAGCACATCATCCATTCCGTGCGTTTCCTTATTAATTTCAGCTTACCCCAGCCTGACCGACCTATTTTAGCTTGATACCACTCTGTACCAGCTTCACACCCTCTCCTTCTTCTTGTCGCCGTCGTTATGGAGTTATCTGTGCCGCATCTTTGCCCAGTTTCAATGCTCAAAGCCGAGGGACCTCGACGCAACCCGATCGTTGCGTTTCTTCTTTGTCATTGTCTTCACGCTCAACCTACCAAGCTTGTGGCTTCATGCGCTCCATCGCCCAGGAGAAGGCAGATCAATTATTCTTGACTTCATTGGAATGTGTACGTCGACTCATGCCTATAAAGATTTCATGCTAAAGGGGTACGACCAGCGTATACGCCGTCGAAACTCTCTCTGTTTTCCCTTGACACACTCATTCTCTTCTTGCAATGGGTCCTTGTCACGATCGCGTACGAGGCGTCGATTTCTCGGCAAATCACAGAGGCCGAGCAAGACATGCTCCTCCCATTTCCCGCATCACCTCTACCATCAGCTCTCCCATCGCCCATTACCTCTACACCGTCATCACCCATTTCTGGCAGATTGCCTGATCATACGAAAACGATATATCCCCCAAACACTCCACCAGACGTCATTGACCTCCGCCTTCATGTTATCATAGCACGTCTGCGCAACCCCGTCCCACCTCCCCCTCGTGCGTCCGACTCTCATGCAGGGGTGCTCCCGCTTCCAAACACGACCCCGTGGCCGCTTCCAGCTGGTATGCGATTATTGATGCGTGCTGGAAGGAATCTTCGGAGAGAAACTGGGACCGGGAGTAGAGCTGTGCCGACGGGGCAGCCGGAGGTTACAGCTGGGAACCGGGATGGCACAACGATGCCTGGAGCCATGGATTCATAGGTACCACCACAGGGGGTACCATCGTTATGGTTTGCGGAAGTTATATTACGGACTTTTGAATTAATGAGTTTGTAATAATGTGCAGCCCAAGTGCAGGGACATTGCGTTTCGGGTCAGTCTGCCATCACCGCTTCTTCATCTAGAGTAGGTGTTGAGTTGTAGGCGATACATATCGGGATGATACTCACCGCTTTCTGAATGCAATCTTTGAATGCAGCAAATTCCTCTTTACAAATGTCCTTTTTCACATCGGTGTACGTTGCCAGGATGCATTTCCCATAGACGGTTGCTTGAGCCGAGCAGGTTACTGTGGAATGAAGAGCCAGCCGTTGTATTGGCCGTGTACGTTGAGCAGTGGCTGCCTGGGCACTCATGATTGTGAAGCAAAGTTGGGTTTACTTGTGAGTTTACGACCCTGGATGCAACTCCAGTCACATGTGTTTGTCACGACTCAACGAGCGACGTCCTCCACAGTGCTGACGTCTTCAAAGTCTACATATCCGACGCGACCAATGTTGGTTCAGCCCAACATTCAAACTCTTTGACGACAAGCCTCGGCACCTTCCATTTCAAGGTCCACCGTCGCATCCCCGTAGTCCTTACGCGAGGTCTCGCTGGTTACACTTGGCTTACCGTATTTTGGCACCTTCTTGCTTGACTAACAAGGCGCCATGTTCAATCGGTTGCTCCTCATTTCATGTATCTGCATCGTCGTCGCGTTAATCCTCTATTTCTTCTACTGGAATCGTTTCATTGCATTTCTCATCTGTGCAATCATTCGCGTCATATACGGAAACCAAGAAGCTTCAAGCAGTTGGGTGGAAATTGGTAAATCCGCTCCTTTCACTGCGTATATGCTGGCAGCATCTGACGAATTGATGTGGTAGGGTCCATCCACTTCTCGCTCTTAGCTGGTCGAATTCTCGTCAAAGACTTTCGGTATCACTCGAGCAATCAAACCATCAAGATTGTGAAAGGACAGATTCAGTGGAGGTATTGGATTCGCAGACCTACGACGGAAGCTGAGATTGCTTCAACGCAGGGGGAGGAGTGTATGTTTCATTTTGCCTTGCAAACACTATACACGGGCTGACGTCAATGTGACAGCGAAACATACCGACCAGTCCTTGTCGTGTCGGGTTCAAATATCTTTCGAAGGTTTTGAATGGTTCTTGTATAACAGGACTGCTGCATATGACAGTATCATTGCACAAATGGAGTCAACCAGTCGGCCTGGTTCGCGAGCTAGCGAGCGTCGTCGGTCGACGAATAGGTTGCATCGACAAGGTGGGGTCTTTTGCGGGGGTCGTCTGTCATGACTCATCTCTTATCGCAGAATCACCCTTCTACCCTCCATCAGTCATCAAGAGGTCGCTACGAATTCCTGCCCCAATACACAGAGCCCTTTCTTGGATAAACCGTCAATTACCTCACCTCGACCCAAAGGATTTGTTGCCTCTTGGCGTAGAGCTGACTACCGGGGCAATTATCGTCGGTAACCCATCGACTCCAAACTTGTTAATAGCAGAGTTCCATAGTGCCGATGGAACGTTTGGCATTGTTCCAGTATGGACCATTGAGCATGTTTAAGAGCCCCACGTCTGACATAATTATAGTCTCGGTCAACCTTCGACTCGTACAAGCAGGTTCTTGCTCTCAAGTTCCAAACTGTGCTCGTGCGATACGTTCAAAATGATGAATATGTGGATCCTATGGCTACCATAGGTGCTCTTGTCGATGGTAGAGTTACACGGTTTGTCGACAGTGTTTTCATCTCTCGTTTGTTGACGCATATCCACAGGACCTCTGGTTTGCGACCAGCATCCTCATATCAAGCCTATCGCTCTTTTATCAGAATATGGCGACAACTTGGCTTGTATGACCTAACAAACAAATATTTTGCCACTCGGCGACAGCAACACATTGCACACCAGACAATCCAGTCGTCAACTCGTGGGGTTTTCAGAAAGTCGAAAAAGAAACTCGACGAGGATACCCCCATAGGCATCGACTTTTCAACCTACGAATACGCTGTTGAACGGAAAGTGCTTGAATGCCCTGTTCTGGAGCTTTCATACTACGTCGATGTCGTCGGAGAGGTTCCTCCATTGCCTCATCATGAACAATTCTCACGGAGTGATTTGATCGACATCGGGAACGGCGATACCCCTCCCGAATGGGGGTTGGACCTCGTGATACATGGAGGTTTTCTAAAGTATGGACCTTGGGCAGATCGACAGAGAGTGGAGTTGCAAAGAGCATTCTTTCCGCCGGCATACCAAAATGCGGAACTTTCTCCCCGTCTCAAGCCGGGCGATAAGAGGATGTGGACCGCATTGCAAGTTTTTGTTGAACTTCGTGATTTAACAACTCTCCACATTCCCTTTCGTGAGGCATCCAAGGCAAGAACGTTCTGTTGTGTCTTCTGTGTCTTAATTTAAATAATCCCCTCACTTACAGGATTGGATCTGGGATGGGAAAGTGCCAGGTCTGCAAAGACCCCGGAAACGAGAACATGCCTCTATAAATGTTGCCGTGGGAGATCGTTCCTCCATCAACTATATAATGCCAATGGTGGCAGGCTCTGCTGGATACGAGCCAACTCTTGAGGTTCACTTGGACACTGTTGCTATCACCTCCAGCTTGAATGATATTCGGCTTGTCTCCGCTGAATCATGCAGAGTAAGCTCCTCCCATCTACTATCATTATTGTTCTTTCTGCAGATTTTAACAAATTATCACCCTAGGTTCGCTGCGAACTTCCCTCGCCTCTCAGGTGGAATCAAGAACGAACGTGGGATATCGCAGTATTTCTGCGGCAACCTGTCCTTTATCTTCTTCGAGACCACATTAATATGTTCACTGACCTCGGGAAGGATTGGACCTCTGGACCACCCACAGATTACCAAAAGTTTGTCCCTATGATTTATCGCTTTAAACTCGAGATGCACCACTACGAACTTAATTTATACGCTAACGACCAAAATATTATCGATAAACCACTTCTTAGAGATGAAAACGGTTGGTGATTCTAGCCATATTGGAGATTGCGCTGAACGATTCTTCAGCCTTGGTTGTCGTTCACGGGCCGCACCTCAAACTCGAGGCTACTATACCCTCTAATACCTTTCGGCCCGAGGCTACAACCATCTCCTTTACTGTTGACGCCAATGACACGAACGTTGATATATCGTTACCCCGCTGGAACACGCACGCCCTGCATGCTACAAAGGAAGGGCATAGCTTGCTCAAGGCTGGGAAGCTATCTGTTCAAGGATCATATCATTATTTTGCTGAAGCACGAGAAGAGCACGTGGAACAATTAAAAGTGGCAGTGAATGTGAGTTCGGATAATTTCGAAGCGCTCCTCTTATGTCTTATCCGGACCACAACAGCTTCAAGATGCTGCTTATAAGGCGGTTGGGTGGTCCGTCCGCATTTTCATGGTTTTACGGGACAACTACTTCGGATCTTTCACTCACTTTTCCACATTGTATGAATATCTTGACAAGCGCAAACGAAATCTGCCTCACGGCGACCCCATAATGTTGAAGTATCGGGAAGGAAAGGTAAGCATGTAGTATGTGACTTCGTTGTTATGCATTTGCCGAGACATTCTGGACAGTCAAACATGCTACAAGTTGAGGTGGCATTGAATGCGGCGCGATGTACTACTCTAGTGCCAACAAGTCTCCTTGGAACTCAAGCCGTTAACTTTGGACCACAAAAATTGCTGGATGAGACCACCAGCTCTGGTACCTGTTTGGTCTTGGCCATCCCCGAAATCCAATTGCAACTCCGACTACATGACCATTACATGGGTATGTCTCCGATCACCGCGAGCAGCTCTCGTTCACTAACTTGACTTCCAGAGATGTCTTTGAATCTTGACACTGTTCGCGGATATATCAACCTTAACACTCCGGGAAGGGTCACGTACGCACCACCTCAGCTCGGGACTAAAGAGATAATTTTAATCGATGGTTCGATATGCTTCATTGTAATATAAGGGTTTTTCTAATGATTTTGCAGGTATCGATGTCGTCGCAAATCGCTTGTTCGGACCTCCACCCAAAACGTCTACTTATGTGTGTGTGTGGGAGATACAGCTAGGCAGTGTGAAAGCATCTTTATCAGCGTCCGATGCAATACTTCTTGCTGCTGCTGGAAATTTTTTCCGCTTGAATTTCGTGGACATAGTCAATGCACCTGCGAGCGAGTTCGTTCATCCTTTGGACCCAGATAGTAAGCATGAAGCAATTTCTTTCCAAGCCATGATCTCACTGTTCTACAAGTCACATTCTATAAGGTCACTGTTGCTGCCATTGAATTGACTTGGCGGGCGGGTGACGCTGCATTGGTGGTATCTCTTCCAGAAGGCGTCAAGGTCGACTCGAATGATTTGGGTACTCATCAATATAAAAGGGTCATAAGCCTTCGAGCTCCGCAAATTTGTTTCAAAGTTCTCTTCATGGTATCTTCGGAACGCAGCACCTGGCTGGAAGCAGCTGAATTTGTTGCTGATGCATATGCCGATATTTACCTCGCCCCAAAAGGACATCACGAAATGACTCTGGCGCAGGTGGCTTTTGTTGAAGAACAAGATAAGTTGACAGGTCGAGCAAGGCGAACTTTTGGTGGATTAGGGAATCGCTTCGCTGGTAAATTTTGTCTATCGCGATTTCTCTGAATGATGCCAAACTTTTTTTGATAGGATCAAGTCATATAACGCATAAGAACGATGTCTTTTTGCCTCAACCCTTCCTTCCAAGCCGCGCAAGACAGTTGCAGGAGAGGCATGTACCCCGTCCCCAGCAACAACTCAGGAAAGACCGTCCTTCGACATGGCGACTTTCAGCCCTGAGTAATTTGTCCGACTCTGAGGGCGAAGAGGGAGTGTCAGAAGCAGATCGCGATGCTCGCCTTGCGTAAGATTTCGGTCAAATCATTATGAACGTGACTAACTTAAAATAGGAGGAGCCGCACTTCAAATCGTATTTATCGATTCGGACATGAAGGTGACATGACTAGCGGCGACGAATCAGACGACGCGGATTTGACGGATGCTGATTCAATGGGCAGTGATTGGTCCGACATTGCAGGTCCGTTACATTTATATTGAAGACTTCAAATTCAAATACGGCTTTCCTAGATTCCCCCATTAGAGACGCTAACATGTCTCTGCTGATGTACTATTCTCAACTCACGAGGCACTACATCCAAAACCGGTCACGAGCACCAAACTTGTGGGAAGGACCAGCGTTTGTCATGTCACGGGTAGGCATTTGATTATATCTTCATGTCTCTATGTCTCTGTACTGAGTCTCGTGCTAGGAACGAGCTCCCCTGACCTCTTGCACAACACGTACTGACAAGGAACGGAGCTATGATCATCAACTACCCTCTACCCCTTTTTCCGACCAACTCAAGGCGGACAGGACAGTCACAACTTTACGTTTTCGTACCCGAAGGAAGTTGGAACTTAGAGCAACACCTCTTGTCCTTCCTGCTTTCATTTGCCTCGAGGAAGACATCAAGAAAATTGTTCGTATTTTTGCTGAATGTCGTGGCGTGTTGTCTGACATTCTAAGAACAGCCTCCCGATGCTGAGTTGTGCATTGACTTGTTGATCGCGAGCTACTTGAGTAGGGTGTCCTCGTTGAAAAACCCTGGAGAGTTGGTTCCTTGTTTTGTCGTCGACCTCGCTCTTTCATCAACCATCATTCATATTCTCCAGCACGTTCCCATGCCAGAAGAAGGACGCGTGCCGGTGGCCCGTGCCATGGAAGGCAGCAATTTCCCGACTAAACTCGATATTACTGCCGTTGTTGAGGTGACCCTTGAAGGTGTCGGGGTGGTTGGTGTTCTGGCGGATAAGCTCCTTTCTCTGCAGGCGTCCTTCCAACGACTGTCCATCCATCTTGATATGTCGATTGATAAGCGCACCCTCCAGTCTACCCTCCTAGATTCTACCATCTTGGACTTGTCTCTTTCGAATGTCGAAGTACACAAATCTGGCGAGCTTCTGTCATTGGCGGGTGAGATTTCCACAACGATTGGACATCGAGGACCGGAAATCGCTGCTGCGACTGCCATCGCTCTGTCAACAACGGGATCGCAAATCGTTGCTGTCCTTCACGGCTCAAAGGAGCAGAAGGAAGCAACGATCAGAAATATTATCCACGGCATCCTCAAAGTCTCTGAAAGCAAGCCAGTTCTTGATCCTCTTTCGACCATTCAGCCCTCCTACCTTGTTCAGAGTGGAATTCCCCTCGAGTTACGTACTGTTCCAACATTCAGATTTCTATATCACCTTAGGAGTTGCGTTCTAAATCTCGGAAAAGCGGAGCGCGATCTCCTCTCTGTCGTTCCTAATGCCAACGACACTGTGACCAAAGAGGTCCTTCTAGAGCTCTTGGAAAGCCGCTTAAATACTTTGGACCAAGACCCATACAATCCTGATCACAAGTCTGCTCTGGACATATTTCTGCCCAGTACACCAACATCCGCCAATGGAAAGGGTCATCCTTTTGTGGATCCTCCGTCGTCTATTTCGCTACGGATTGTGCAGACCAGCGTTATCATCTTTGATCCGTCAGGCCAACTACCAAGCCAGTTCAACATGACGAATTTACACTTGAGCATCCGCAGAGATTGGACGGAGCTTTTACAGTTCACATCTAATAAACCCACCAGCATGTCGCAAACGTCTTTGCGTGAAAAAGTTTCACGTTCAGTGATGATAACCTCCGCCGTCATTTCTCTTGGGGATGTTACTCTCACTGTTTTCCCCCATTTAATGCATTTTGCCCAGCATATTTTGCGCGTTCGAAGGCAGCACGGCCTCGGCCTTGACAATCAAACATCCATGCAAGATACATCCTCGTCCATTAGAAACTCAAAATTGACCAACTTCAACCTCATTGTGGGGCTAAGACACCTTCGGGTGCAAGCTGCAGCTGAAAATCTTGTCATTGTCGTTGGTGTTGTCGGTCTGCAGTCTTCGTCTTCTTCGCTTGCTCAAAGTCGAAGTGACCAGTCAGTAAACAGCAGTATTTTGTTTGAAGAGGTCTACGTTCAAGGACGATCGCCTGCCAGCCCTACGCAAGAATCCGATCAAGACATACTAGCGGCTGTGTCTGTAATAAAAGGTCGAGGGAATGGCGTCTCGCGGCAAGAGCTTTTGCCGTCAAGGGCAAATTTACGCATTGTGTTTTGCATCGACCAGCTGAAACTTAACGTTCCTCGTAGTGCGCTTCGCTTGTATCGTTTTGTCGAAGAGTGGAGAGCCGATTTTCTGCCTGGCATTGAAGCGACCGTGAACGCTCTCTTGGTGGAGTTGAATTCGACGAAATCAGTTTCTCCGGCATTACCGCTGGTCTCCCCACCTCGCTCTGTCCTACATCTCCACGGTCAACTTACACACTTTGAAATTGCCCTACAGGTCATGCACGGCACTTGGTTGTCCTTGGCAGCCAACAACACCATTGGTTACACATACTCATCTTCCGCACCTGTATCCGGCTCGACTCACATGTTCGGGTGTCAAGTAGGATCAATAGTTATCAATGTCGCCTCAAAGCCAAACGCTCGAGACGTAGCACCAAGTTCCCGGGTCCAGCTTGTCCTTCCTCCCCTGTCTCTCGCAGGTCAATATGATGGGTCCCGCGTTCATGCACTTCTATTGGCAGAACGCATTGAATTGAAGGTCAAGCCTTCCCATTGGGATACTCTACTGGCAGTTCAGCAGAAATTTGGAAGTGATTTCAACGATCTCCTGCTTCTCATGCAAAAGCCACGTCTCAAGAGTTCTGCTCCATCTCCACGAAAGGGATCTGGGGCCAAGCTGCAATATGGCGGCTTCGTAAAGCTCAAGGGCTTTCGGATTGGCCTGGAGGGCATGTCGTCAACTCTTTACCTTGAGTGTTCGGATATCGGGGGTGGTGCCAACAGTGCTGAAGGTTGGGCCTGGGATATTGGGCTCTCCGGGCTGATGTTGTCGCTTGCTCCTCGACCGATAGGGCGAGACTTAGTCTTGAGCGGAGATCGTCGGTCAGCATCTATCACGATTGATTTTAATATTCAATCCAGCAGTGGTGACCATCGTCAAGTTGGGAGCCTTGGAAAAGCTCTTCAAATTACTATCACAAAAATTCATGCTGTCATGCAACCAAGTTCAATTGGTGAAGTCGGAGACTTTATTGATCATCTTCAGGTGCGAATTTCCATTTGATGCGTACGTGTATGATCTCCAATGTTTTGCATAGGCCGAAATGCTAGAGCATCAAGAGAAGCGGGCTATCGAACTAGCAGCATTCAAAGAGAAGGCGAAAAATATTTTGAACACATTCGATGTTAAAGTTGGAGATGTTCAACTGGAAGAAACCACCTCCTGGATAAGCGAGTTTCTTGTCCACATCACTATCCATAATATTGGTGTTGCTTTTCCACTTGCGCACGATTTTGATCTTGAGCTGCCGCACACAGGAAGTAGAGATTCGGCTGCCGTGCGCGCTTTCTTATTCTCTGTAAAATCAATCTCTTTCAGCGCCAACCGTGGTGAGACTGGACAAGCCATCATGGAGAGTCTATCGTTCCAGTTTGTTTCGCGGTAAGCACCTCCCCAACGACCTCACGCATGGGTCTCTCAATGCCCCCCAGCTTTCGGCAAACATTTCCCCAAGACTTTTCCGCAGAAAAACATCAAACTCGAAATCGTTTGATTTACCCAGAAATGCGAGCTCAGCTTAGGTCTACCAGCTCAGCAACTGCGCGAAAGGTTTGGATATCTGCCAATGTAGACGGCTTTATCCTGGATATTGACTCCACCATTCCGGACTACGTTTTTTCTTTGATTGATGTCTATCGGCAAGGAAGGGAGCGCGTTGAACGGTTGTCTGCTACTATCCCTCTGTTACCATTGAGTGCCACCCCTATTGCCGAGGGTGTCAAACCGCTTGAAAGGCATTATACGGCTCTTCTGACCTCCAACGTTTTCGCATCCCTCATGTTCCGCAGTGGCAAGGTCAGAGTCTACAGTGGTTCTGCGACCAAGCAATTCAGAAGTAGAACTCTTTCACGTACTGTGCAGGAGCTTTCCGACGAGCAGGTACTGGACCTAGGTGCCGAAGTCTTCAATCTCCCCATGGTTTCAGTTTGGGCTGAATATCGCGCAACTCCTGCCTCTCATAAAATCGTCTTTGATCACGAACAGGAACCTTCCCTCCTGATGTTCAAGACCACGGTACACTCGAGTCAAAATACTCTACGACCTAAACTTCTTATTTTCATCACGGAATTTGTCAGTGTCATGGAATCCCGGATGGGGAAACTCAGCTCTGGTACTCAACCAGAACTTCAACCGACGCCACTGATTTCAAACATAATTTCGCCACCGAGAGTCGAGGAATCGGAGGTTATGTCAAGCATGCAAATCAGCTTCAGTTTGCGCATCGACCAGTCGAAGCTGGAACTTACCTGCCAACCCGATGTGAATGTTGTCGCCGGGTTACATTGGGAGAGTGGAGGCTTCGTTCTCAACGTTGCTCCAGGTGCACGTAAGGTTTCGTTTACAGGCACTGTTGGAGGACTTACAGTCGGACTGAAACACGGGTTTCTGAGTGAAGATTGTGTCAACCTTGATGCAAGGAACCTCGCTTTTTCGTTAGCGTTCAACAAGACGGAATCTGCGGCTGGTGAATCGGTCAATTTCTTGTCAGTCACCCTTGATACCGAATTTCTCGGAGGTGTGCGCTTCTCTCGTCTTCAAGACATCTTGTGCTTCAAGGCTGTCTGGCTTGATCGTATTCCAGTGTTTAATAATTACTCGCCCACGGTTAGCAAGGTCAATGTCAATCCCACTGTTGATGAACGACCAAAGAATGGATTTTCGACTGCAATCCTTGTACGGATACGTCAAATCAGGCTTTCCATAGATCTTGGGAAATCTATCTCCACAGTGGTTCTAGATTTAAACGACGCTGTCATGCGTACAAAGCTCACCGATGAGCTGTATGAAGTCTTTATGTTTGTCGGGGAGGTCTCACTTTCATCCAAGGGAAATCTCGCTGGCCAAGCACGGGTGACCACCTGCGTGTTCCAAACGATCCGAAGGTTGGAAAATGGGGCATTTGACAACAGTGGCCACAGTCAAATGTTGGAACTGAGATTAACAAGTGGCGCGTTGATCGCCGCGCTCGAGTCTGACCACCATCAGCTTCTCCATTATCGGTAGGGTTATCTCTCCTGTTTCGATCAATTGCGTCTCTCTTAGGTTTTTTCACAGTGCTGAACCGCTTGCAGTGGAGGTCTTTGATAATTGGTCGATGACTTCTTTAGAAGCGAACCGTGACACACGTCCCCTACATCTCGCATTCACGGTAACAAGTCCAGAAGTCGTAGCCGTGGTCACTGTGGGCACGTTTCCGAAGCTGCTGTCGTATATGAATAAGTTTAAGGCCAACCTTGACGCTCAGCGGGAAGGCGCTAGCCGAGAATCAAGAACATATTGGGCGACTCGTGCGCCCAAACCGGAGAATCCCTTATCTGCCGTTGCAGAAGCCATGCTGCACTCAGCTCGAAGTCGGTACAAGGAAGCTGAGTCGGGTCTTTCGTATGTCATCAAACAGCACATGAGCCTTCGGCTTAATCTCCTTCGATTGGTCGTATTTCCTCGTACAATGCACGACGTCGAAATCGCGCAGTTTATTGGTCAAGACGTACATGCACGGCTAGATCGCATCGTCACATCAGACAACCAGCCTGCACAACGTGATTTGCATCTTTCTTTTTCATCGATGACAATCTCGAAATACACACAAGTCAACCACCTGGGTCTAGTCCCTCCTGACCCAGAGCATGGTTTGGACGGGCGAGCATGGCTTCAAGCGCTGTTTAAAGATGCCGTTGAAGCTATCATTGTTGGATTGCCATCAATGAAGATGCACATGGTCAGTGAAGAAACTGTGGAAGAACTCACAAGGAATTTGGTGTACGACTTCAACAGCAAATTTGTAAGACGGGAGGGCATGCGAGCATATGAGGATATTTACATCACACTCAATATGTCGCTCTACTCGTGGCTCACCGTCCTACGAAAGAATTTGACAAGGGAGATGGATCAAATACGGGCCACGGAGGATTGGCGGACGATGAGTGCTGCTGCTTCAAGCTCTCCTGGTGCAGCGAACCAGCGCAAAAAGGGCATTCCGGAACCACTTTCTCTGACGGAGACTCCGAGATCCGCGTCAACATCATCCACTGCTTTCTCGTTGTCTCCTACACTCGCCCCAGGCTCTGCGCAATATCTCTCAATCGAGAGAGCCAGGACGGCTGTATCTCCACGAGACCAGACTCCAAAATCAACTTTTTTATCTCCATCTCAGTCTCCAATACCATTCCCGTCCAAGGTAGCTGAGGAGGTGCCAACATCATCTGGCCCACCAAAACGCTCAGGGATTACATACAAACCACGCGATCGTCATATCGAACGACTAACCATGCGTCAGCTTGGAGAGGCTACTCCTGACGTGATGCATCCATTTTTCATGAAAAAAGCCGGCTTCAATCTTGAGGATTCGTTACCGCAGTATGTGCACGAATACGCTTCGGGGCCGTTGGAAGAGATTATGGAAGTCTTATTAAAGCTATATAGCCAGCAACTTTTGGTTGCGGCAGCGAAAGGTATACCCAATTCCGAGTCATTGTAATATAGATAATATCGGCTTCATGTCATACTAGAGTAGGGTACATAATAGGTTTAATTTAATGAAAGAAGAAACGATAGGAAGCTTGACTCTGCGTCGTTGATCATAATTGCCCTTTTACTCGGTACACAGGTTTGTGGTATATCGAAAGAAGTGCGACTTGTTTTAGAATCAGCGTGAAGCTGGGCTTGACATTAGTATCAACCAGTAGTGGAACGACGACTACAACACGGTCAATGATTTTAAGGAGAGTCCTATTTTTCTTGGGCGGACGTTGACGCTCGAAAAGAATATTCCATCAGTGAATCCCGATGTCCATTCGTCCTCCTTGTCATTTATCTAGTGCTGGTCTGCCACTAAATACACTGAGGAGAGCGAAACACCCATAAAGCAGGCCAACAGGGTATGCTACAAGGAGACGCTGGTCGGACATGCGAAGGACGGCGACGAAGATCCCAGAAGCGGCATATGTACACCAGAGTATTGATGTAATCGAGAGCAGGTATCCGATGGTGCCGCTGTGGATATCTTAGCGTCGTACCAAAGCGAAGAAACGGGGCACGCGCAACGTACTTAAGGGCAACCATAACGCTTATTGCGCCCAAGCCTACCATCGGGAGCAGGCAATATCCTAGGACAGACGCTGTGCGGTAGGCGTCGATGCCATGTGGGGACATGAGGTTCAGCAGGGTATATATGGATGCCGTCCCGAAAAGACCAACACCGTATATGTATCCAAAATTCGGTTTTCCAGACTAGCAACGAATGAGTTGGTTGGTGATGAGGTGGAAAGACAACATACAAAGAGAAGTGATATCCCAAAACAGAAGAAAAATATGATTGGCCCAGCAAGGTCGGCGTCGTCCATAATGTGGTCGTCTACTCCACGAAGGGGATTAAGAACTGTTAGTGACTTGGCTCGGATATGCTGGAAGTTGATGCCCAATTCTGTTTTGGGATGAGCGTTGCAGTCATCCCCAAGTGACTGTCGTACAAACCTTCGAGCAGAGGAGGTTCGCCCTCAAATCCCCCTGTTCCAAAGGCCGTCCACCAAGCCCCCTGCACCTGTATGTTTCCTCCAAAGCCAGGCGACTGGGATATGGATCCCTGGGGTGGCGGGTGATGTCCATCCAAGCTCGGTCGGGATCCAGGGTAGTTGAAAGCGCTGGGATCCCCGCCGGCGGGTGAGTAAAACTGAAGTGGCTCTTGAGGCTGTTGTTGGTGTGCGTAGTAGGGCGGCTGGGACGACGAGGAAGCACCGTATGGATTGCTGGATTCCTGCCACATTTTTGTTGGCGGTTAGAAACACGTCAGAACACGTGAACCCAATTCCACTGTTGACATTTGCTTACTATCTCCTTCCACCTCCAGCCATGGCGAGTAATTCTCTGGATTTTTGCAAGTCACTAAGCTGACCTTTTATTCCCTCTACAGCCTCAGGTACTTCATTTATTGGCCAAATTTACCCAAGTCTGACAATCCGTAGAACGAATACATCGAAGAGTCCATCAAACGGCATGGCAGGCGGTTAGATCACTTTGAGCGCAAGTAAGTCCTCAGTTAAGATAGCCTTGCGACCACCAATACTTACCCTTCGATAGACGCAAGCGCGAAGCGCGTGAAGCCCATCGTGCCTCCGCATATGCCCAAAAAGCCTTTGGTATAAAGGGCAAGCTGCTGCACGCTAAACGCCATGCGCAGAAGGTTCAGATGAAAAAGACACTCAAGGCCCATGACGAACGTAACGTCAAGCAGCCTGACTCAGGAACAGTCCCAGATGGTGCTCTCCCTACATTCTTGCTCGATCGTGAGGGCCAGAAGGATGCGAAAGCCATGTCTAGTGCCATAAAACAAAAACGGAAAGACAAAGCCGCAAAGTATGCTGTCCCGTTGCCGAAAGTCAGGGGTATCGCAGAGGATGAGATGTTCAAGGTTATGAAGACGGGGAAGAGCAAGAGCAAGGCATGGAAGCGGATGGTGACCAAGGCGACGTTTGTGGGTGAAGGATTCACGAGAAAACCCGTGAAGATGGAGAGGTTTATCAGGCCTATGGCTCTGCGGTATAAAAAGGCCAACGTGACCCATCGTGCGTTTCTTATCATTCCGAATAATTTTTCCTGCTCAAATCGTTAATTTTTTCAGCTGACCTGAAAGCGACATTCCAACTTCAAATTTTGGGAGTCAAAAAGAACCCACAATCACCAATGTACACCCAACTAGGTGTTATGACAAAGGGAACCGTGATCGAGGTAAATGTATCAGAACTCGGTATGGTCACTGCTGGAGGAAAGGTTGTGTTTGGGAAATACGCTCAAATCACGAACAACCCAGAAAACGACGGCTGTATCAATGCTGTCCTGCGTACGTCTTTTCGATTCCTTCACCCTTCGAAATCGTCATCATATTTTCTGTTTCACAGTCGTATGATCTTTTCTCTACTCGTCTCTAGTCACGACCTTGTATTGTTAGATTTTTTTGGTTCTCACACACGCCAGAAGCAAATATATCCAGGCTTTTTTCACTTGGAAGATCTACCCGCTGCTGTATAGCCTGTATTGTCCATCGCAGCTTAACACCCGCTGTTCGACAAGCATCTTCCAGCTCCCATTTTTCTTGAGGGAACCACTTGCCAGTGCTTAGGCGTCAATTGTGAGATACCCGACCCCATAATCTTCAGCAGATGTTATCACCCAAACTGTATTAGCAGTGACCCAGTATACACACACGGCAATTTTATTTTTACGATAAGTATCGGAAAAGGGCCTTCGAATCGGACTGATGTTGGACTGAACTGATGTAGCTGCATGCTATGCACAGAAGTCTTTCAACATCTTGCTCTCTTTGCACTGCGATCCAAGTATATTTGAAAGTTACTACCACTAAGGATACAGCATGAAATAAAAGTATAGCGTAGATATGATACATGGTCAAGGATCTCGAAGTCTTGCGCAGATACCAGAAAATCCAAGAAGAATAGTATATACAGGATCTAAGGTATATGTAGATTATTACTATGAAGGATGGTGATATTGAGCATATGTTGTAGAGGGCTGATAGTGGTAAGGATGTTGTGTCGGAGGATGTGCTAGGTGTAGTGAATCCGGGGGTATTTGTCCCGTATAAAAATGAGGTGCGGTAGTCCGTGAAGTCGAAGGTTGTATCAAGTTCGGACGATCCATCCCGCTTGCTGAGCGAAAAGAATAGTCACCATGCCTGGAGAGTCCATGGCGAGAGCTGTCGTCCCATGTTTCTACTCTTCTTGGAATAAAAGAATGACAAATCAGGACGAGCCACACAGACAAACCTGGTAGCGACGTACCTGCCAAATTCTTGCTGGCTTAGGATAGCAGGATGAGGGGGGTTGGAATGCTTGACCGAGTCCATACGTAAGCGCTGTGAATATTGTTGTGGCAAAAGTAGAGGCTCGTGCATATTGATGTCATCGCACACGATCACATCAGGAGCAGAAGGATACGAGGACGACAACATCATTGAAGAGAAAGAACCCTGTCGTCGCAGCAGCTTTTCCCTCCCCCTGTCAGCATGGACCCTTCTCCCATCCAGAGAGCCCGACGACCACGTCCGCCTGAGGCTGTGTCCATTGTACGAAACGGGCTGGTCGTAACTAGTAGAGGGAACGGACACGGGAACAATGGAGGCAGAAATGGTTCGACCTCTCCCATTGGGATGATCCCAATCTTTTGCATATCTACCGGCCCGTTGTGACCGGGGTAACAGTGGATGGTTGACCAGAGGTAATGTTATTTGTTGCTCGTCTTCTGCCGAATTAACATCTGCGAATGAATGCAGTTCCTGGTGCTGTTGCTTCAAGAAGAGGTTGGGATCTGGGGGAGGTGGCATGTGGGGGGAAGGTAGGCGCGAGAACACGGCGCCAGCGTGCAAAGAAGATGGTGATGGTAAAACATGGAGAGTTGGAGAGGTGGAAGGCCAGTGCATGTTGCTAGGGACTTGTTTCATTACAGGAAAAGAGAGACGTAGCTCGGCTGTAGACGTTTGGGTTTGCTCGTGGGGCCGCGACGTCGAGGTCATGGAAGGCGAGCTGATGTGTTGATCATCAGGTAAGGATTCCCTAACTTTTGACCTAGTTTCGAAGTGTGAACGAATGCCCTCATAAACCCACTCAACCAACAAAAACCTACAAGAAGGGTTCAACGAATTCCCATCTAGGCTTGACCCATTCAAGTGCATCCACTAACACTTGTATATCCTTCATAAGATCCTCAATTTGCATCGCCAATGGGGGCTTCACGTCTTCTAAATTTGCTCCCTTCTGCTTCATGGCCCTCTGTTGAGTCTTCAGGTCCCATACACCTAAAAGTAACGTCGACGCACACAAACAAGATGTGTGTATCAAGTTCAGCACATGTACTCCCTCCAAGCCAAAGCGTCTCTGTGCTTTGATGATACGGGCACAGGACTTTGCCGCAGATATGGATAACGTCAACGCCGGGTAGCGAAAGTACCTTGATTTGGTCGGTAGGCGCAGAGCCAAATTGTTGAGTGAAGGAAAAAGGATCGGATTTGGGATGAAGGGTCGGTAGATGAGTAGCTGTGTCAGGTGGTATAGTGAGTGGATGGTTGCAGCTTGACTAGAGAACGTGATGTTTGTCATTTTATCTGACCACTTGACTATTACACAGATATTTTGTCAACTTCTAGGCACGAAGGTGATGGCCAGACTTACGATGTTCAGGAACCCCTGCTGACCACTCTTCCATGGCCGTGTTCAATTGTTGAATGACCTCGTTCCGCCAATCGCCTAGTATCAATCCATTAAATACTTTGGATGTGTCGACCGCATACTAGATAAAGCTGACCACTCAGAATGTATCCAGGATTAACGAGGGAAAGGACTTGCCACAGTCCTCAGCGTGAAAGCCATGATTTGTGTTATCTTGATAAATTGGTTGAAAGCTGATATCTTGGAGGGCACTGCTGGAGGTTGCTTGAAGTCGTAGGCACTGTCCCAGTATTCGTCGTCCACCTCCAAGGGGAGGTCTATATCGAAACTGTTAAGTCGTTACGTAAAGTTCGTAGAAAAGGCAATGGAAGATAGAATACCCACTCTTCGTCTGCTATTCCCGAAGCCCTCCCAAAATGAGCCCCACAAAGCCGATCAAATACCACGAGAATCCAAAATGCTCTCTTCCACAGTTCGTCATCTGAGTTAGGTGACCCTCTATAAATCTTTTTTCTATGCGCACCAACATCTAGTGCTTTGCGCAAGCCGGTAGAGACAGTAAGCCATGCAGCGGATTGCATTCGAGTACCACAGAGGTACAGAGCAAACAACTGCGTTTATCAGATGTTACATAGTGAACACGAGGAGAGGGACGGGACTCGCGGAAAATGTTTGCACCTCGAATAACGTGGCAGATAGCAAAGTACTTCGCCGGTGGCGATGTAGTTCTGCGAGCGTAGACGAGTTTCAGGAATGACACATTCGGCTAATATGGACGTACCATCTCCGACTTTAAAATATTTTCTGCCTGCATTTATCCAACTTCTTGGTGTATCGCCATCTTCTCCTCTCCCTCGCTCCTCCTCAGGAAGGACCCTCTCGTCATCACACCAGCGACTAGCGACGGCGAATAACAATAGGCATAAGCACGTAAACCATTCGTTCCGATGATACAATCCCTCTGCCCACTGCCTCTCAAACGTCGGTCGATGTAAAAGCGGAAACATCAAGTTTGTATGGAGGAAATAAAGATCTATCAGAGTCTCGGCTAGACCTGATGGGGGAAAGTGTTCCAGGGCGGAAGGAAGCAGGGAAGGGGTGTCTTCGTTGTTGCCTTCGTATACAAGTTCCCACTAAAATGGCATTTCTCAAATATCAGCAAAGCAGCAATTATTTGACAGACTCACCTTTGGTGTCCGCCAAAACTCCGGCCGCCTGGAGACGCCACCTGGGGCGACAGGCGGTTCGCCCGCCTGTTCTTTTCCAGTCGTCTCTTCCAGGTGCATTTTCTTGAACATCCTGGCAGTCTCTACGAGGTCCGCTGTATTGTTCCTTCCGTGGAACCTAATACTATTATCCTCATCCGGACCGGCCTTTTCGCTAGCCTTGAGTAGAATAGGTCGTTTGCCTTCCATGGCGACGACAACTACTTCCTCTGAGTCGGTGTTGTATGATGACGACGCGTCGTCATCTTCTGACGAACTCATTGAGGAGGGTGTCGTGCGATATTTTCCTCTCCAAGACGAGGATGCGGCAGAAGAAAGAGTGGTTTCTGAGCGTGTACGCCTGACGCGTGGATTTGGTTTGAACATGAGATGTGTGGTACGCTTGAGAGGAAACGATTCGGGTTGCTTCTGGACTGTGGGGGGAATGTGAATTGCGGGTATGGATGATGAGAGCGCCGGGAATGATGCCATGCGTTGCATCCGACCAGAACTACGCAGGGAATACGAGGGTTGACGCTGGCTTTCGTTGACAGCAGAGTTGTCTGGCGTCTTCCATGAGCCACGGATGACTGGTGGTCCAAGCTGCCCTGAAAAATCGGTATTGGGGTGAAGCTAGGGTATTGGGGTCTTAGAGCAGGCATCGATGACTATAGATAGAACAGGAATTGACCTGATTCAACAAGGCCTCCAGCTCCTCTACCCTATCTTCCAATCCAACAACGTACCTGAATGATAGGTTAGGCAAGGAGTTGAACCGAGACAGGTTAAACATACGCTTTAGGAGGACCTCTGGGTTTTGAGGCTTCCCTGGATAACGAGAATAAGAAAGATAGGGACGAGAAAACGGAAACTTACACATAAGTGCATGGCTTGTTGGCCTGGTGACAATTTGTGCAGTGCCTGTTGGGCATCCACGGTCCATCACATTTCGTCTTTCTACGACGACAAGCATCACACGCCCTCTCTGGCCTGTTTTTTCCTAGTGGGGGTTGAGGAGAGGAGTCCGACTGCATGTAACAGCGCCCAGAGATATCACAGTGATGGTGACAAGACGCGTGAACTACTTATCATCACATCACATCGAACATGGCTTGGGGTTTTTTCAAGTACGTCATTTGAACTGGATATGGTTTTCTATACTTAGACTTCAAGCTTCACTGGTTTCCAAGTAGCGGAATCTGGTACCACAAACGCATCAATTGTCGCTACAATAATCATTCAATTGAAGAAAATCATTCTGGGTTGAGGTCAAAATATACGAGCGTCGACGACGGAGAACGACAGACTGAGCACGAAAAACCTAGTTAGAGGGTCATAAACTCTTGTCCTCTTCGAATCGGAACTAGACCACGCGGAAGAGGAAGAGTAGTCAATCCAGATCTTGAAGTCTGCGTCAGGGTCGATGCCGCGGTCCGCCTTCCATGTGGCCCGGTCCAAAAGGGGCATTCGGGGTAACGCTTTTCAAACTGCATTTTTTTCAGCTTCTCGACAAGCAGAGTACCTTCAAGCACCTCATGGCGACCCCTTGAGGCACGTTCTGGTTCTGGTTTCCACCACATCGGTGCAACCCCTTTGAGGTGGAGAACATCTCCAGCAGGAGTTTCAAGAGCGCAGAGAGTTTTATTGTCAACGAGCTGGAGAATATCAGGTCCATACCTTCGTCAGCAAGAGAATTTCATGGCAAGCATGCTCAACACCCACATCTTCCTCTGCATAGGTAAGGAATCAACCAAGCTGTGTCTTGATGCAACAACTGAGAATGGCAGGCTCACGAGAAGTCAGTCAAAAGAGTGGGATCTGCAAATTACAACAAACCTTGACAAAATCATGCAATTGTGAGTACTAAACAAAATCACCATTAGCTGAAACAAAGCTGAAATTGGAATCACAGTTTCACAAGTCTATGCATTAATAAAATTCTCAAAACACTCCACCATAGCTGTTGCCCTATCATCACTGAAATTTTCTGCTCCTTCAATTTCTACCTCAAAATGAGTTGCTGCAACAAGACCTGTGCGCAAGACCAGGCATAATCTTGAGTCTCCTTTGGGAGCCACCAGCTTCCGCTCATCGTACATTGCTGACCAGTAGCCAAGCCATTTTGCATGTGACGAGGAGCAGTGAGGGAAGGATCAATGAGGATGACCATGCTTGCATAGATTATATATAAGCAACATAGAAGCTACAGTTGAGTGCAAAAAGAATGAAGGTTGGTTCATTTTTCTGGTTCTTTCTAAGAATCTATTGTACCTCAAATGTATTTGTGTATTCTTTTACATTATGTAGTTGTGTTACACTTCCCTTGGTATGGACTAATTTCAGTGAAAGCTGGAGCCTTGAGAAGGTTTTTATTCTGGAGGCCATTTTTGGCATCTGAAAAAAAAAAAAATTGCGCTAACTGGAGAGGTAGCCAGAACATACCTCTGGTCAACCTGAATGAGCCTATCAAAGAATTGTCAAAAATATG